AGGAAGACCCAACTTCCTTGGACAGCTGTCTTCATGCCAACTACCCACACCTTTCCAGCATGGTGGTGGCGGTAGACATCCTACGGTCTGGACCCAAAGGGGACCACGATATGCTCCAACCCGAGCTGTATGGAGCTCTTTGCACGGCAGCAAAGCAGGGCCGAGTGGTCTTCATTGGAGGAGGACCCAACTGCAGGACATGGTCCATCCTGCGCCACATACCAAAACCGGGGGCTCCCACCCCGGTGCGAGGGCGCACTCCAGAGACACTTTGGGGCCTTCCACACCTGGACCAGGCCGCCCAGACTCAACTTGATGATGACAGCATCCTCATTCTGAGACAGATGAACATCACCAGCCTGGCAAGGGCCTCACGTCTCTGCCAGGGCCCAGGTCCTTCCTGGAACACCCAGATGTGTGCGTTTGCTCCCCCTTTTGAGCCATCATAGATCGTCCTGATCTTGTCCGACTCATCAATCCCTGCAAGGGGGCCCGGGCAAAGTTCCTGTTTGCAGCGGCACCTCTCTGCCGCCTCGGAGTGAGTGAAGGGCCCGTCCACCATGTCCAAGGCTCGTTCCTCGTAAAAGGTTGATTTGATTTCCTTGGCAAAGAGTTCAGCCGTTGGGTAGTTATCATGAGCCACTGGCGGGGGGGGATCTTCCCCCAGCCAGGCTTCTCCCTTAAGCTCCTCCTTAGTGGGCCAAACTCCCGGGGAGGTCAAGGTAGGGTCCGAGACTCCCAAGGGGACCCCCTCTTTCAGTGTTAGGGGGAACTCCCAATCAGGGTCACCTGAAAGGGATGCCAAGTGCGACACTAAGTCCAGGAGGAAGGGTTGTCCTGGGCATCGTTCATGGAGGTGCCTCGGTCCTAGGATAGCCCGCAGCTCCTCGAGGTCGGCTTCCTGGAAGGGGTGTGTGGTGGCACCTGATGCCAGGGACATTCGGACCTTGTCAATCCAGGGCCGGGTAAGGGTCATGATCAGGGCGCCCAAAGTAGCCAATGGGGAAATTCTCCGAAAAGGGGGGTTGAGCCTCCCTGGGGAAGGTTTTCCCCCCCCATCCCTCAGGGGGCGTGAGCGGAAACCCAATTGGACAATCGCCACCCGGTCAGTGAGGTGTGGGACCCTGAAAGCGGGCAGGCATTCGGGGCGGTCCAGGACCTGGTCCCCCTGTCCCTCCTTCCCCAGTTGTTCCGCATCTCCGGCCATCGGGGGCATGGGAGATGGGAAGTCTGGGTTCATTGTTCCACGAGGGCTTACGGTGTCTGCCTCAGGGTGGAACTGCCCGTGCAGGCGGGGCTTCGGGGCGTTCTTGCCTCCGGGCTTTGAGCCCTGGTGTGATGAGGAGGGACCGCCTCCTTGACTGGGCCCCCGTTTTCCCCGGGGGGAATGGCCTTCCGGGGGGTCCGACCCCCGCCCCTTAGGTGGTTCCTTGGGGTTTCCCGGAAATTGTGAGGGGATCCGGATGTGCCCCGGCGCTGCGAGTGACACAGCGATGGCTTTGGCCAGGCCTGCCATCATATCCCAAGGGTATCTGCTAAGAGTCGAGGACTCGTTGGTGCCCACATGTGACTGATGCGTGCACCGCATTTGATCCCAGTCCTGGATCGGGAGATCCGTGGCCAGCGTAGTGGCCTTCTTGACCAGCTGGCCCAGGCGGCACTGGTCGAAGGAGATTGCTGTCAAGGAGTTCTCCTCCATCCAAAGCTGCCCCTCCTCTGTGATCCAGAAGGATGAGCATTCCTTGGCTTTGGGCAGCGAGCTGCTCACCACTGGGTCCTCCGGGTCAGGCTCACACGGAGGAGAAGACCACCGCACCGATGGTTGGAGACTGCCTCCATGCCATCCACTGGCTCAGGACAGCGGCGGACCATCCTCATCTACTCCGAGCCCCATCCTCGGGCACTGATGAGGAATCGGGATGTTCACCAGCCGGTGCAGGGGCAGTCCCCAGGTGCCGAGGGCCCTGAGAGGGACCCCCACAGCTGCCCCCAGGTGCCGAGGGCGCTGATAGGGGCAGGCGGATGATGGAGACCTCCGGCGGCCTGGACGTCTCTCCGCGGTCAACACCCTCAGGGAAGGGGCCACTCCCAGGTGCCGAGGGCCCTGATAGGAGGGCCCCATTCCCCCCAACCCCCCCAGGCACGGAACGCCCTGGGGGGAGCAGGGGGGAACCCCTGACGTGGCAGCCGCCGACACAGGGGGAAACCTTCATCATCCTCAAGGCGGATGTCACCAAGGCCCACAGGCGCATAAAAGTGCTCCAGAAAGACTGGAAATACCAGGTGGCCTGCATCCAGAACCGGTGGTGGGTCAATAGAGTGGGCACGTACGGCATGGCCTCGGCACAACTGTACTGGGGAAGAAAGGCATCCTTGGTGCTCAGACTCTTGTACTACATCTTCCCTCAGGTGGACTGGCACTTAGTTTTTGTGGACGACTACTGCTGGGTCCTCAGATGCAGCAGGGCGGACTGGGACGCCACAGCCATCCTGGCCACTCTTCTGGCGCTGGGAGTCCCGCTTTCTTGGAAGAAGACGGCGCTCTCCCCGGTCAATACCTGGTTGGGATTCGTGGTGGACCCAATCACGCCCTGTGTGCTGCTGGCTCCAGTCAAGCACGTCATAATCCTGGCCACTCTCAAACGGCTGGCCCAGGGGGACATCTTTACCAGCAAGGAGGTGGAACAAGCCCTGGGCCGGATTCAATGGGCTACTTCGGCGTGTCCATTGACGAAACCTTTCCTCCAGCCCTTTTGGAGCTGGAAGAAGGCCTGCACCACTTCGGGCAGGCCACCGAAGCTGGTTCGTGCTCTGGCCATCCTTCTGGGGAAGCTCTTCAACCAGAGGTTCCCACTGGCATCTCCATTTGCTCCCACACTTCCATGGACGGGGGCATCTGATGCGGGAGCTGGCAAACAGGCGGACCATGCATGGGTTGGTGGTTGGTGCTCGGACGTGCCCAACCCCGACAAGTCCCGAGTGAAGTGGTTCCAACACAGAATCACACCGGAGGGCGAGCCGTGGGCCTTCACTACTGGGGACCCGCAGCGGGCGATAGCGGCCTTGGAGCTCTTCGGCCTCCTCCTTTTGGTGAGGGCTGTTCTGCTTTGTGCAGCCGGCTCGGCTTCTCACACTAGGATTCTGGTTGCTAGTGATAACCAGGGAAACGTTTTCTCCCTGCTTAACGATTCCACTCGCAGGATGCCCAATGCGGCCATCCTCATGGAAATTGTGTTAACACTGCATGACCACCAGGTCATGTTAGGACCGTCGCATGTGAAGCGCGACTTTAACACATGGGCGGATGAACTTACTCATCCGGACCCGCAATTTCCGACTGAGAACCGGGTCTTCCCCTCAGTCGAAAGCGAATTGATCAAGCTGATCTTCGCTACTTTCCTTCCTCACCCATGATGCCGGGAGGGCATCCGGTGAGGTGGGAGGATTCCTCCCTCGCTGTGGGAGTGGCATCAATTCTACTCCCATCAGCTGCTGAGGGGAGCTGCCCAGTGGAGCTGGGCAATCCTCCCATTTTGGCACTAATCCTTATGCGGCGTAAAGGATGCACCGTTTCGCGATTAAGGTACCAGTTGCACCAATGTGGTGCTTTGAAGAGTCAACACAACTTTTCAACTTTTTGGGTAACATGGGCTATATGTTTGTAACAGATTAACTTCCCCAGGGCTTGGAGTTTTAAGGGGTAAGAACCCCTTAACGTTTGGCCTTAAGGGCTCATCAACTTGGCTTATCCCCTTCTCGGGCCCTCCTTGGCGGTCCAGTAGTCTAAGGAGAATCGTATTACACCCTGAACATTTTGGGGAATCACCCTACTTTAGCCTATTTCCAGATAACACCTGGTTAACTTGGATTAGTTGGGACTATGTGGGAAAATGTCCCTATAGGGTGTATTCCAGCGCAGTGTAATCGGAAACTCCTTAAGACTAGTTTGTGACCACGATTATTCATGTTGCCTTAAGGCAGCGATTGGTGTTGGCAGTCGTGTCGGTACATCCTTGTCAGTGTGCTTTGCCTTTTGATGTCGAATTAGTATAGGTCGTGGTGCCTGGTCCCCAGGGTCTGCCTGGTGGTTGGGATTTGGCATGCAGACGTTTCTTGGCTAGCGCTGATGACAAGGGGTGATGGTTGTGGTCATGGAAAGGGTTGCTTGGAGTGTGACGCTGTTAGTGTCATGCTTATGGTTGTGCGGCCTTGCTGGCCGCTGCCATGTGACGGTTGTTTCCATATCAGAATGGCCCGCGGATCCACAAACCCCAGACCAATAACTACTTGGCATTTGCGAGTGCACGTCGCACCAACCTGGTTTTTTGCCTTGAGCCACGCAAAGGCCGGGAATCACCTTCGCGGCGACATTTGGCCCTTCGCACGCGAGTGCTGCTCCAGAGACCACCAGCTCCTGACGCCAAGTGCAATCTCGGCGTCATTGAGCTCCCCTGGCGATTGCCTTGCTCTCCTTGGTGACCCGAAGCTTAGGCCCAGCATCCGAAGCTTTGGCCCGGCCACCTCTTTCAGCTGCCTTCGATGAGCTGCCTCACTTCCGTACTATTGAACGATCAAGCCATGAAGAGCTTTGCGATCTGCAGTCCTGAAAGCTCTCCTGGGTCTCGCATCCTTGGCCACTTCATGGTTCAGTCCACATCTGCTCTTCTCGACTTTGCATGCAAGCTGGCCCTGGTCGCTGATACCTGCACACGCATGACGATAGGTAAAGGGGCCCGCTGGCGATGGTAATCAACACGCCGTGGATGCGAAGGCCCAGCTGTGCCCATCAGAAACAAACGTTGAGTCCGCTACTTGCCGATGATTTCTACGCCCACGCTTCGACCCAGTACTGCATGCGCCAAGGGCCATCGCAAGCCAATTCGGCACTTGGCGTAGGCGAGCCAGATTTGGTTCATGGTTTTCGAAACCAGGCACGAAACTTCACACAGAAATTGCTTGGGTTCTGAGTGAGGTTGCCATGTCACTCTCTCTTTCGTCAGGTGGAGCGAGTGCTCAAGGCGCAAGTGCTGCGGCTCAGCTGCACTGAAGAGATTGCTGTCACCCTCGGAGCACGGCCATCAAGTGCATCGAGTGCATCGAGTGCGGGGGTCTCTTCTTGGCTCTGGGAACCTAAGTGAACCCTACTGGAGGTGCGCAGCGGTTGCGTGCAAAGTGTATGACTCTTTACCATGTGCGTATGTTTGAAAATGTCTCGTTGCTTCATCTGAGCCGTCACGACGTGGTTAGTCTTGAACATGCACAAGCGCATAAGCTGTTGTTTTTGTTGTCTATTTCACGGCAGGAAGGTTTGAAATTGGCAAATCGGCATGTCTGTTTTTTGTCCAGGAGATGTTGAGTAACTATGAAGAGTATCAAATCTTGCCTCAAGCACAGGAATACACGACCATGTATGCAAGGTCTCCGCAATAGTTCGGCAACAGCTCACTGACCGCTATTGTAGATCTTGGGCTTGGGACAGGCTGCTTGCCCACTTTGATCGAACATTGCCACTTGATGCTACCGTTCACGAGTTCCTTGTTCAATCGACTGAGATGAAACCAGATGCGATCAGAGCCTTTTACCAGCACAAGACAGCCTGAAGTACACAAACCTGCGTATACAACATGCAACACATCGTGTTGGTCCAACGCGCGGACTGTGCATTCCGTTTCACCTTGACGAGTGCCAGCTAAGGTTCAACAAGCAAATTGTTGCCCTGCTTGCGCAGATCGACAGCCACTCGGCAAGCTCAAGGGCGGATTTGGGTAGAAGAAGGGACGTGCCCGTACCGGGAAGCCGGAATGCAGCCTATGGCCAGATATGAATGCGGACTGATACCAATTCCCAACAAGTGGTCTCAGAAGCCAACTAAGCTTGATATGTTCGTTTCGGTTCTTGGTTGGAACAATCCCACCCATAAAGTAGCAAGGCCTTAATAGGCTTATTTGGGCTCCCTCCCCCCCCCCCCTCCCCCCCAGCCCCCACGAGGCTTTGGTTTGCCTGGCCCTTGCGGCCCAAAGTCGCAACCGAATCGAGGCAATTCCGATGGTCGCATCAGTCGCGATGAGCTTCATGCCATGCTGGAGGACTGTCGTGCCGCCAGCATTGCCCGCCACTGGACACACTTTACCACTTGTTGCCTTAGTGGCTCTCCCTTTATTTAGTGGGCTCACTTTTTGGGCCACGTTTTTTTCCCTTTATTCTAGTGGTGGCCCAAAAAGTGTACACCGTTTTTGGTGCGGTCACTTGTGTCTGCCTAGTTTATAGCGAGCTCACCGGTTCGGGGGTACAAGCGAGAGTTATGAGAAAGGTCCTTCACCTGGGATCTGGGGTCCAATTCTGAGAGCTCAGCTTCTGGAAGGATCGTAAAATGTCCAGATGGTGTTGAGATTTGGATCTGGTTTGTTTTTTCTTCCCCTAGCCCAACTTCTTTGAGGCCTTGGGGTTCCAAGGCCACAGGCGCTGATACGGGCGGCCCAAATTCTTCTTCGCAGAAGCTGACCGCTTTTGCGCTTGCTTCTGGGAAACATGCGCTGCAGACTATGGTGTGCGGAAAATGTTGTGAGGAGTCGCCAAAGATGCCTTAGAGTCATAGCCGTGGATCACGGTTATCAACTGTTGCATGCGCGGGCGGGTTTTAGTGCGTTTGGTGTGGCAGCTTTCCAGTTGGCTTTCGCCCGGGAAAAGGTGGATTCTCTTACGACCGAAGGAGCCTCATGCTTCCATTTGCTGAAATGAAATTGTTTTTATTTAGCCCTGTTGGTTTTAAAGGGAATCGATTTCACTACTGGACAGATTTCTTAAACCGATGGAAGGATCTCGGTTTGAGAGCAAGCCCCAAAGAACACCAGCATCGTTCTTCGGAAGTCTGCCCTTGAGTGAAGTTCTTGTTCCTCTTTGCCGCTTCGCCAGGATGACAAGCTGAAAGCCCACTGGGAAACCCTGGGCTTGACTGACTTCAACAAGACCAAGCAAGCTGATCGCTTGTTCGGCGCCTGGGCGTTGAACCGTTGAACCAGGCCGTGTTTCATTTTTCCGCCCATGCAACTTTTGGACACTTCCTGTTTCACCCGAGAAACAACTTGTTTTTTATTTCTTAGTTTTGATAAGCATGAAGTCTTGCCCAAGTGCCGCGCTGGCCCATTGAGCCTGCTTTGCATTGACCGCAGGCTGGCCTCTAAGGCATGTTGCTCCGCCCATCCTTTGTAAGTGCCTGTCTTGAACATTCAGCGCATGCATGCCTTGGTAGCGCTGCCAGCTACCTTCATCCACCCAACCCCCTTCTCAATTACAAGGTTTTTTCGGTAGTGCCCTTTTCCCGTTTCTTTTTTGGGGGAGGGTTCCCCTACTAAAATAGACTACAGAAAAAACATCGTGTGCCCTTATTCTAACCTCTCAAATCTGGAGGACCTAGACTATTTTTGGCCACCCAACCCCATGGCACGCTATCGCGCACGACCCGCAGACCTGCTGGACGAAAACGGCGACGGCGCCATCTATGTGGACGAGTTTCTGGACAAGTGCGGCCTCATGCGAGGTCCAGCCAGTGCGTCCTGGACTGGGAAGCCTGGAAGCCATGGGACATCAAGTCAAAGTTATACCAGTTTTGTTGAATTCAGAGAAAGGTGAATCAAGCCATGGGCTTGAAGGGGTGCTTTATGGTGCTTTATGTTTGGGCGTTTCCCCATCTGAAGATTTTTCTGGCAAGGTAAGGCCTGGATTAGTGCATTGCCAGGCTTTCTGGGGCTGGATTTCTGCGGCAGTCTAGTTGGGAGTTTGTTGCAGTGAAGGCCGCCTGGTTGCAGCATGCCCATCAGCTTGGTAACTCACAACTGCTTCAGAGTGGGCCTGGGATTTGATAGAACTCATCAAAGATTTGGTCGCTTAGCTCTTTCGTCTTTGGGGGCGATTCCTTTTTATGGCGCCCTCAAGACTCACAGGACTTGATACCATGGGGCTGCTTCAAGCAAGGCTTAGCTCCAAGTTTCAACGATTTGGAGAGTTAAGGCCAGCTCATGGCTCCGCATTCCTTGAGCTCACATCCTGAGCTGGAACTGATCAAGTTCCTTTTTGGTTGCTCGGACCTCTTTACTACGGGGGATGTTTAGAAATTGGCCGAAATAGGGCGAGCCATTGCCTCTCAGCTTTTAGCTTTTGTCACCAAAGGGAATAATGTTGATGCAAAAAGCTCAGTGGCTTTTCTTTGCTCGAGCCAGTCCGCTGGTTGGAGGTGAGTGCATTTCAGCTTGAGAGACCTGCGCTTGGTTTGCCCTGCTCACCATTTGCTTCTTCAGCTACCGCCCTTTGACGTTATTACTGATTTCGGACAAAACGCCATCACCAGCCGAAGAGTGTAGCAGCAAACTGGAAACACTTCACGATGAGATGCACCGTTGTTGTTTTTCATAGCGCTTCCTTATTGAGTGGGCCTTGCAACTAAGCTGTCGGTTTCTGTTTCTATTCGACTTGTGTAGGGGCAGTCCTCCAGGTTAGCATGAGCCGCAATCAAAATCCGGGTAGATGAAGGTTAGTAAGGGACAATCCCAACCAGAAATAGCTGCGGATATCCGCCTTCTTAATTCTTGAAGCATGGTTCTGGGGATCGACCATTTTAATACCGGATTTCGCTTAAAAGTGTGACTCACATGTTCCTTGGTGGCTCCCGAAGGCCATCCGGTTCCTGAGCCTTTTAGCTTCTTAAGGTGCTTTTGGTGGCTGGATGTTCGAATTTAACCTGCGAAAAGTGCGCCCACTCTTCTCGCGGATCTGAAAACGGACAGCCCAGGTTCGAGGTCCTTGCGATGCAAATTCCGAGCCTCACGCGAGGCCTTGGAGCTTTTGGCTGTGCAGACAGAATGTGGCCACATCCGGCGCTACCTGAGCCAACTGATCGCAGGCGTCTCTAAAAGCAAAAAGCTTGGCCTGAAAGGCTTCCCTCTTGATTGTTGTTTTCTTCTTCTCTTTCTTTTTTTTCCCCGCAGCGCTCGGGTGATTCCAGGAAATGCATTCGGAGTTGATGACTTATTGCTTTCCACTTTGAGCACGGCACGGTGCTTGAAGCCGACGCATCCGATTTGGGAGTAACACGTATTCTAGTCACATGCCAGGTTTTTGACATGGGTCCGGCATTGAGTAACCAGTGTAGGTTCTGCAGGATGTCGCGGCTTTCTCCGTAAGGTCGAATGTAAAGAAGCAGCGGGAACCGGCGAAATTGAACGCACATTCCATTCAGGGACGGTCCTTGTTGCAGGTGCTGGAGGGCCATCTAGATATTATTATTTGTTACTGTATTTTAGGAATGTGAAGGTCACCTGTATGTGGACATGTACATATATATATATATACGTTTATGTGTGTACATATCTGCGTGAAGCAAATGGGAAATCTACGACACAAGCTCTGGACCAGCTTTCTCAAAGATGCAATTGTTCATGTTGAAGTCCCATCTGGGAATTGTCTTCAAACAGTGTCCACCTTCAGGATGTTCCGCCAAACATGATGTGCCACAATGAAACGGCCAACTAGGATGACCCATAGCATTTGCAGGTTGTTCTTCTATGCTTCAAAGTGCAGAGGGGGCGCGTGTTGGAAGCGTGACTGCTTTTGGCGAACCTGCGCCGATTCCGTGGGGGCAGGGCGGTCAATCATGTGCTGCACGCGCATCAGGCGCTTTTGTTTGTAAATGGGGTCAGTCAATGAGTCTTCACATGCCACAAGTATGAAAGGCATTGTTTTCGACAACGATTTGATCGCATCCACTTGCATGCCCTTTTTGCCCCACGCGCCAGGAAAAGCGAACACAAACGGTGCCGATCAGCAGTGATTGTTGCTTCGTCAATTTTTAATTGGCAGGCTGCCTCAACTACCGGCCACGGACAACGTACAAGAGCTTGCTACTCTTGGCATTTGGCCTCACGCAGCCTTTGTGCCAACCCGCATGACGGGCGGGCAAAAGGCCAGAAGGCACCACTTTGCTTGGTTCACAGGAATGCAGAGGCATATGTCTGTTGGCCTGACTTCCGCAGGTAGGCCAATGCTCAGCAAAGTCTGCGAGAGATGGCCAGCAGCTTTGTCCCAGAGTGGCAGGTCCGTTTATGATGGGGTTGCGGTCGGCTTTTGGCATGCTTCATGTGTGACATTAGCCTGAAAGTAGCAAAGGTAATGACCCTCTTGCTACGAGCCTTCGGACAAGCAGCATGATGACGTCATGCCCGTTTATGCGCACAAGAAAGCATGGCAGGTCGATTGCCCTCGTTTTGTTTGCGCCGATTAGCAATGTCGATTGGCCAGTCGATAGTAGAACGTAAGGATGCGCAAGTGTCGGCTGGGCTGAAGCCCAAAAGACGCCCCTGCACAAAAGGGATGCGCAAGGCCGACAATTGAACACAAGCCAGCGCTTTGAAGCAGAACATGTTGCGTGTGGCTGGTTGCTCCTCAGCCCGGCCCCATCTTGCCATGCCAGCACAACAGGTCCCTTGCCTCTCAAAGAGAGCGCCGTGACGTGGCTGAAGCGATCAGATGGGAAAACGGGGGGCTGAAGCATGCGTCTCGCTCGCTCCCTGGCTCGACAATCTTCACAATTCTGTTCGGGGGTCAGTGGTAAACGGCACGGAGTGGACACCTACCTTGACTCTTCATACTTTCTTGCACTTGTTTTAGCATGAAGAATGTGCTTCATGTCGACCGGGCAAACGGTGGTGCCTTAATGGCCTCGGGGCATCGCCCCATTGCGTTCCGAGACTCGCAACTGAACTCTTTCCTCCAAGGCCCATGCGTTCCTGCGCGTGCTCACCTGGAAGTATGGGCCTTTATTCCGCCCAGCTCTCAGGCCCTGCCTGCCTGCCCTTTGCCTGCTTCCATGCCACCTTTGCTTGATGGCTTTGATTGGTTGTTTTGTTGTTGGTTACATACTTGTTGTTGTTTTTTTGTGTTTGGTTGGTTGTTTGTGTGTTTGTTTGTTTGCTTGCTTGCTTGCTTGCTTGCTTGCTTGTTTGCTTGTTTGTTTGTTCGCTTATTTGTTTGTTTGTTTTCTTTGTGTAGTGTATGTGTTTCTTGTTTTGTATTGCTTTCTATCATGTGATGTTGCCTTTCTGTCTTTGTTCATGTCTTTGTTTGCATTTCAAAATGTGCTTTGTTTTCCTTCTTTTGTTCTTCCTTCCTTTGTTTTATTTACTTAATTATTGTGTGCTATGTCCTTCTGTATTTATTTATGCTTTTCTTTCTTTGCTCTCTTGCTTGTTTGCTTGTTTGTTTGCTTGTTGTTTGTTTGTTTGTGGGGATGTTTGTTTGTTTGTTTGTTTGTTTGTTTGTTTGTTTGTTTGTTTGTTTGCTTGTTTGCTTGCGCAGCTTCGGCTAGACCGTGCGAACCGTTTCTTTGGCCTTCCTCAGGTTTCAGAGGTTGAGTCGCTGGTTGGGTTCAGGGCCGGCCGTGCTTGGAGCTGGGAGCTACCCGTCGGAGTCCTGGAAAAGGGACAGGGTAGTAAGAAGCTGCCGCACAGAGTGGCAGTCAAGAAGCCTCAGCGCCACTGCGGTTTTTGTGCGTGCAAAGTCGGCGAAACGGGTCCAGCAATGCCTCAGTCTTGGTTCCAGCCCAACCGGGACAAGCAAGAGAAGGCTGCTAAATGCAGAGCACACTGTGAGATCAACGTGTTTGCCACAGGATTCCGGTTGCCCACTTCCTTCCATTTGTTTAAGAATGTGTTCTCCCCCTGTTGGTTTTAAAAGGAACCTATCACTGGACATACTTTTTAGTTTTTCCAGGGGGCGAACACGCAAATGTGAGCTTTAGTTGAATCTTATGCCAGGGCGTCTAACAGCTCGCCCTAGCTCTGGCTGCCCTAGCTCTGGCTGCCTTGCTTTCGCACCTGGCTGCATCCCTTTGAGGAAAAAGTCGCCCCAGGTAACACCGATTACATTCGCACGACCAAAGAGGAGCGCCAGCACTTCCCCTGGGTCATGGAAGAGGCGGGGCCCATTGCCCACGTTGGACATCACATGCGCCCCAAAGAGAAGCGGGAGCCGGAATGACTAGGACCTGCAGAATGTAAGTCATTCCTTTAGCCATTTTCAGCCACCTTCAGCCCAAAGCATTTGCTCCTTTGAGTCTTGTTGCAATGAAGCTGAGTAGCCGGGCACATTTAGCAAATGAACGGGGTTCCTTTCTCAATGCGCGTTTGGATCTGTGCCGTCTAAGGGTGAAGCGGGAAGGAGCTCACCTGTTGCAGAATGAGTCTGAGGTTTGTTTTTTCGTGAGCTGGAAGCAGGAACTATGAAGCTTTTCTTGCCGATGTATGTTTGTCGAGTCAAAGCCCGTGCATATAGAGTCGACGTACCAACGGCGACATGGTTTCAACAAGGCCCCGAACGAGTGCCCTGCAAGGAATTCAGTGGAATGCCCTCAACACGGTGTCAAGCCTGTTACATTCACTGAACTTGGCAATGTTCGATGTGGCTGCTGGCACTGAACCTTAATTCCCCTAAGTAGCCAAAAAGGTCCGACAAGGGAAGAACATCAAAACGCCGTGCTGGATGAATTTTGCCAGACCTCTAAATACAGTAGCGAAAAACGTCCGAGAAGGGAAGCAAAATCCAGACGCGCGCAATCCCCTTTAGCAAAAAGGGCCGAGAAGGGATGCATCCAGACCCTTTGGCCCCTTTGTGGCGCGTCTGGCGGACATTTTGGGGCCAGCCTGGCCAGGTCCGATCCCGGGCGCAGGAGTTCTTCCGCCAGCCAGGGGCCCCGGCCGATGGGTTGGGCAGTCACGGCGGGCGGCGGATGGCGGGTGTTGGGTCCAAGTAGGTGTCGACTGTGACGTGGGGTGTGGCAAGGGGGGAAAGGATTGGCGTGTTGTGTTCTGTTTCTGGTTTTGTTGTTTTTTGTTCTTCTTCTTTTTTCGGTTTCCCTTTCCAACGGCTTCAGGAAGACGACCCAAAATGGTGGCTATGTGTTGGTGTGCCAAGTTTGTGGTGACTGGGGAGTTCAACCAGCTCGTGATGCTTAAGACCTTGGGCATCACACTCTTTAGCTTTGACGTTGAAACTTTGGAGCTCCGAATGGTTTGGGAGCCTGGGCGGGCGGTGTTTTCCAGCCAGCCGTGGGTTCCAACGTTCCATGTGTTGTTCGTTTCCTGAAATATGTTGAATAGTTCTGGGATGCCGTTTTCACCAAAGTCCAGTGGATGAATCATGAGCCTTGGTGCACAAGCTGAGCTCAAAAGGTCAACAAATGATCGCCCTGAATCACTTGGATCGAATCAAGTGACCAGTCTCTAGGCCTATCCGTGGCAGCGTCATGCGTAGCCTCCGGATCTGAATTGGGTGCCTTGCGGGACTTTGAGTGGATCCATTGGGCCCAATCGTTTCCAAACCCCCCATTTCTAGGCGATCGCTGCGACCCCCCCCCCAAAAAAAAAGGAGGAAATCGGGGCATCCCTGAGATCGGCTCTAGATGCCCTTCACCTTTGCTTCCCGTGTCCAACATGAGATTTAGATTCCTTTTGGATTTGACGTTTTTGCGGCTCACAAAGCCTCCATGTTTGCCGGCGAGCCTTGGCCTTCGCGGGAGTTTTGTGGACCCAAGAAGCTTGGGAAGGTGGAAGTGTTGATGCCTCAAGTCTTTGACTTCTAGGTCACATTTCAGCTCCAATCCTAAAGCAGACGCAACTTCAGCAGCTTCAAGACAGACGGCCAAGCATTTGACATATGAGTTCCACCACAAGAAGAAGAATTTGAGGCTTCAGCCTACACGTCTCACGCTTCAGACTTCGGGCCCTGTGGTGTGCGGCGAGGTATTGGACGACGGAGCTGCACTCCGGCCGGGACAAGTGGGCCCTGGTCTCACCGGCAGGTGTTGTTCATGTGATGCCCATGTTGAGCTTCGCAGGGACTGGGGCGGGTCTATTGATGCAACTTACAGTGTTATGTCTTGCGTTTTTGCGACACTGGACCTCACAAACTCTGGCCAACTTTCGCGCCGGTTTGCTTGTTCCTGTGTTGCTTGAATGTTCCTAAATTTGCAGTTGGTCTTGTGCGCCTGTCGGCCTCGAGGATGAATTAATTCGTTGTTTGACGGGCTTTCCACGCACGACAAGAGCTGATTATTGTTTGCACGGCAGCCGCTGACTACCGAAATTTGCAACAATCACTTTCAAGGCACTGGGACTATGGAGAGGTTCATCCGTCGAATGCATGGATCTCAAAGCGGTTGGTTGTAAAAATTGGGCGGCCGTTGTGCTGACTTTACTTGGTAGAGTTGAGGGGACGATGCAAGTTACGTTCACGCTGTTTACCCGTGTCCCCCCAGCAATAAACGGTCCCCCTGTTTTGTTTGAGAAACTTAGAGGCCGTTTATTGCTAGGGTCCCCCGGTTTGTGGCCAGAAGTGTTTCAGACTGGGTTGTTTAGTATCGGGTTCCAATTGGATCGGGGGAACCCTCAAAAAGTAATCAGAATGCAATGTCTCAAGAACGTTTAAAGGGAAGGCACCCGTGTTTTGTTCAAACAGAAACCTAATAATAACAACCCTTATTTGGTTTTCAAAAAGCGACCTGATGAAGGGAAGCTATGGGAGATCCTAATGTGAAACAAAGCTCTTTTGGAAGGCAACCCTTTGGTGGCCCCTAAAAAGCACATCCGGTTTCCAGAAAGTTTAATATTGGGTTAGTATCGAGGAATTTTCAATTTGTGCGGGTCCGTTCATAAAACAGGAAAGCGTGATTACCTGCATCCTGTTCACTCGCCTTCCAAGCTGGCCTTCCAAGCTTGCCTAGATTTGCCCACCCAGAGGCTCCTGGAACTTTCAATGGAAGACCCGACCCCTCCATTAGACACCCCGGAGGTGGTTGGGGGTCTCAAAACCAGGCTGTTTGAAGGCCCTAAATCAATCGGGAGCCTTTGGGCAGCTTGTGTTTCTACCTTTGGGTGACGTGAAGCGCTCGATCCATTGGATCCGGGCTTCACATCGCAGCCTCTTTGGTCGCTGCCAGGTGCTCGAGGCGGATGGCTTTGTGACGGTGGTCACCGAGAAGCTCTTTGCCTTGGCGACCATTTTGCGGCGGCCTTGGGCGTGCGGGAGACGGGACTTGGGAGTTGGCACTCTGGAAGTGCTGCACTGTTTGACCGGGTCCTCCTAATGTTCCTGGTTGCATGAAACATGTTGTTTTGAGCAAGTTCATCTCGGTCTCCGTGTGAGTTGCTGTGCGCTCTTCAGCCTGCCTGTTTGTAGCGCCATGTGACCCATGTGTTTAGGGACCAGCTGAAGTGCCCCGGTCGAGTGAAGCACCGCGGTCCTGACGCAGTATTGGCCTTGCTTGCTCAGCCAGCAAAAGTGCATGGAAGGGAAAGCATCACGTCTCGCCTTTTTGCTGGACCCTGCATTAAGTCGCAGCCGGCGGCATTGACACATGATGGCTCGAGTTTGGGCCAGCAATGCTTTGCAGTATAACAGGGCCCCCAAAAAGGGCGTTGACATTGACTGTGCCTGTGTCGCACACTCAAGGTGCCCAAGCATAGAGGGAACATGGCACGACATGCTATCATTCAGAGTTTCTTTGAGGAGACGAACTCAATGGTTGTAGGGGGCTTGCATTGCTCGAAGCTTACGATAAACACCATTGTTGAATGGTCACATGGCGGGGCGCAAGGATCCCGAGTTTCAACTTATTCCGAGCCGCGAGCCTTGCGGGATGCCGTTTTGCCATGGCGCGAAATGGCAGGACTGCGGTGTTTCGCCCAAAAAGGGTTATGGGTGCAATGGGATTGGGGGTTACTTTGGCCTACGTGGCGGCCAAAAGGCGGCTGCTTTGACACCTCACAAAGGATCGGTTTGAGCAGAGAGTTTGGATTGCGGCGGAGTTCGGGTTCGGTGGTTGGGTCGGTGGGTCGGTGGGTCGGTGGGTCGGTGGGCGTGGTCAGCCTCACAGGCGTGCGTTGCTGTGACACTTGCCGCCTGTTTGCGATTGGGTTCGGATTGGGTGCGGCAGGAGGGTGGTGGGGACGTGGTGTCAATTTCCGTTTCACCATGTCGAGGCTCCATTTCACATAGGGAGGTTCCTTAGGGCTAGGATGGAGTGACGTGTCTTTGCGGAGGACACGCTGAGATACCCAGGCAGGGATTGGGAGCGCCGCCAGGTGGATGTACCTGCCATCCCAAGAATCTAGAGGTTGACAATCGTCTTCTCGTGGCTAGCATCGCCGTCATCGTGATCATTTTTGATTACCGCCATCATGCTGAAGAGAACTACAACCATGCTTCAATTGCCAGTGAGTGCTTACTTGCTAGTGGCCGGTCAAATTGATTAGGTAGTCAGTTGGCAATTCAGCTACAAGCTTCTTAGTTTGTCAACAATGAGTCGCATTAGAGCAGAGCGAGTCTGAAATGTTCAGAGCGTTTGGTGAGGGATTGAAGTGCGAAAGTGCAAGCTGGGCTGCTCGCAGACAACCCTTAATCCACACCTTGGGATATGGTTTAAAAAGGGGTTCTTACCGATTCTCCAATAGGGAATATGGATTAGGATTGGCCAGCATTCCATTCTGAAAAGCTAAGGCAAACACATGTCACATGATGGTCGGCCAGTCAGCACCTCGAACGTCGTAGGGTTCACTGCTGGAAAGCTGCAAAAAGTTGCCTGGTCAGTGATTGCTAGCGTGCTTTTGGGGTGACTATCCGTTCGAACATGACTCACGAGGGAAATTTGATTTGCCAGCAGCAATTATGAAGCTTGCTGGGGACTGGTTCCTTGATGCTGCGTCATCCCGCGGCTGTTGCATGACAACACGTGTGCTGACCGAGAAAGTAAATCCCTGGACACACACACACACACACTTATGCGACAAAGAGGTGCAGAGACTTTGGTGGTGGTGCAGGGAGTGGAGCAGGAAAACAAGCACAGCCCTGCAAGATTTCGCACATGCCAGCCATTGCTGATGATTTATTCAGTTAAACCATCATTGGTGAATCATCCCTTCAAGCCATCGATGAACTGGCAACAACGAACGTGTGACGGCCAGGGTGGCCTGGTCCTTTTGGGACAAGGGCCTCAGGGACCTCAGCGAGTTCCGGCTTTTGTGCATTGAGACATGGAGGCGCGAAGCCGGTGAGGCTCTTGCCGTGGCAAGAGCGGGTTGGTGGCAGCGGCGGGTTGGCTTAGAACTTACATCCAACTCGCACCAGCGCGTTGGAAACGTGCGGGCAGAGAGCAGAGAGCAAGAACAAGGAGAAAAACAATTAGAGAGAACAACGCGCAGAGAGACAGAGAGAGAAACAAAATCAAGAAATAACAGGGAGAATGACAGGGAGAGAGAACAACAACAAAAGACAGAGTGAAAGCGAGAAAGAAAGAGAGAGCGAGAGCGAGCCATAGAGAGAGAGAGAGAGAGAGAGTGAGTGAGTAAGAGTCATAGTCAGCAAGAGACAATATAGATAGGGATGGAGAACAACAGGAGAAAGCAACAAGGAGCCAAAGACAGGCGTGGATAAACAAAAACAGAAACGACCCAAACACAGACACCCACAGACACCCACACACACCCACACACACAGAACACACACACACACAACGCACACACACACACACACTCGCATGCGGGGAGGGGAGAGATAAATTGTGCAAAGAGAGCGAACGAGAGAGAGAGAGAGAGAGATTCAGTAATAGAGAGACAGAAGCACAAGGAGGGAGAGAGAGATACAGACAGAGAGAGAGAGAGAGCGACAGAGACAGAAAGAGGAAGAAAGAGAGAGAGAGAGAGAGAGAGAGCGAGAGACATGGACAGAGAAAGACAGACACGGAGAGGCAGAGAGTCGCAGAGACGGAGAGTACGGACACAGAAGGAGAGAGACAGGGGCTGGGGGGAGTGGGGGGGGGGGCTGGACAAATCCTGAGGTGCGGATGACGGCCTACATTAACGCCCATAGGTGTCCTTTTTGGTTGCAGATGGCGATTCCTGGTTTACCTGGTGGTTTAATCATCTACCAGGGCCATCCATTTGCCCTAAAAGGACGCCTATGTTAACGCCCAGATTCTGCTTCATGAATGCAGCCCATGTCACAGCGTATTTTGAAGTTGCCTAAAACCATTCGAGCTATTTGGGAGCGAACTATGTGACTGCCCAGAGACTGGAATGACAGCAAGCGGAGTATGAGAAGACTTGCGGGCTGGGCGGAGCAGACATGGCGAGCCCGGCTACAGGTCCATGAACCCTGGCTGGGTGATTCAGGCCAGGAGTTTTCGAGTGACCGGGGGGGCCAAAGCAAGACTGGGAGGTCTACTTGTGTTGCGCGGAGAGGTCGTTTTTAGAGTGAAGCTGCTTGATAGCCCGCTTTGCAGGGGCAAATTTAGAACGTGTAAAAACGTGATGTTGTTAAGCGAAGAGGGGACGGGTATCTCTTTTGTTTTTTTCCTATTTGGATGCGAGGATGGTGGTATCAAATTTGGTTGGTCAAAATAGGGGGTATCAAATTTGGCTTCTTTGTGGATGCTCGGTTCGCCTTCTTCCAGCCTTTCCAGGTGCTGGATGCGAGGTCTGTCTGGGACTTCCTGCAGCCAAGTGACCTGCCGAAGCAGTGGGAGGAGAAAAACGCGGCACCCGAGGGGGGTGTGAGGAGATTTGGCAAGTTCTAGAATGTACCCTCCCTCCGTTGCCTTTTTGCACCTGCCAAATTGGGTCCCTTGAGGAAATTGATGTTCCAGGTACCCTCCGACAGGTGCTATGATGTGCTATGTTTGAAGGAAGGGCAAGTAATTTGAGGCGTGAACCAACATGGGCTACTTGTTTGAGCTCAGGGATGGATCCTCCTTTCATGGCAGCCTGCATGTCGGGATTCTCCCTTCATGGTTGCAGCCTGCATGTGGGGAGTGCAACCTGTGGAACTGCAACTATCAATGCTTCGTATGCGCCCTGTTCGGGAGGATTCTAAGGTTGAATGCTGCCCCCATGAGTCATTGTTGAGGTTGACCCCGCGCACACCCTGGCCCCCACCGAATGTGATCAACATGATGTTTGTTTGGATCCCCGACATAAGTCATTGCCCAGTGCTAAACATCATGGATTGCTTACCGCACCCCCGCCCCCCTAACGTGGGGACCCCTCCTCACAAGGGGGGGATAAGTACTCCATGAAAACAGGATTGCAAGTTTCTGCAGGCTGATTTGAACAGCCAAAGAGCGATGTCCGGCCCGTTCCACAGGACATGTACGTCGCGTTTCAATCCGATGCTGTGCGGCTTGCTCTGTTACAGAGGCCGGGGCAGAGCAGGAGCTTGTGCCTCCTCTACATGCTGGCGACTGCACATGAGAGGAATGTGGATGATAAATTCCAGCTTTGGGCGGGATTATTTCATTTCTCATGGGGCCATGTTGGCTCGGCATGTCAAATTCCAATGCCGTCATACAGTTCTTGGTGCTGTGCCCGCACAGCTTGCGATTCAGACATGGGCGTGGGCATGCGCGTGCGTGGGGCGTCTTTGGGCAGGTACGGAGGGCTGTGGATCGACCCAGCCACGAACCCGAGAAGCAATTATGATGTTTGGCTTGCTGTGATCATTCCGCATTGGCATCGTCCATGTCGTCACGCTTGGATCAGTGCCATTGATTGTCAGTGCCATTCATAGCCAGCAATCAATGCTTGTTGCCACTGATTCAGAAGATTCGTGTTGTTGAGCTGGCCTTGGACATGTGGTTTGCTTGCCAAGAACTTCAACATGTCAACTGGGCAAATCCTTTGGCACCCAAATCTGACTTCAACCAGACAGGAGCCCAAATCTGACTTCAACCAGTAGGTCTCAGGTTGTTTGCTTGTAGGTGAGCTGGCAGGGCCACCTCGCAAAGGGGCCACTTGCAAAGGGAACCTGAGTGGAAGTCGATTTTAAGGCAAGCGAGGTCCACATATCCTTCAAGGAGCCCCTTTGGGTACCACGTTAGACGGGAGGAAACTCAAACCTGCATGAGTATTGCAGAACTGGTGAGGGTGACTCTTGTTCATTCAGCATTTGACTTTGTACTACCATAGGGCAACAGAAAACACAATGATAGTAGCTCGGGCCGCGACTTCCTCCAGAATGTGGACTTGGCTGTTCAATTTGGACGATCCAAAAAATGGGTGTCCACCTTCCCCTTTCACCCCATCCCCATGGGTGTCCACGAAAAAAGGTGGGCGCTTCCAACTTGACTTTCGACTTTTAACTTTTTTGGATATCAAGTTGGGTTTTCCACTAAGCCCACAACAAGTTAAACTTTCTGCAGAGGGGTCAACAGCAACCACGCCGAGCTGTCGGTTGCGAGGATCTGCCTTCGACCCTTTGAGACCTGGATCTGTGGACGGGAAGGACTGGCCGCGCCTAGGGCCCAGCTGTCGCGGTTGACCGGGATCGAAGGTCGGAGCCGGTGTTCCGAGGTTCTACTTCTCTTCCTGGGGCACGGAGATGGGCAAGAGCAACTTCGTTGCAAAAAAGGCGCTTTTGGGAAAGAAATAATCTTCAGCGAAAGAGAGTTTTCAGCGAGACTGTCCCGAAATCAAGGAGAGATTCCTGTGAGTACGGCCATTGTTGTCAATTCAAAGTTAGCGTCCAGCTATGGAAGAGGACAGTCAGCGATTGTGGCATGCCCTCTACACACTCATTTTTTGGGCACACTCGGGGAAGCTATCGGTTTCCCAGTGTTTGTGCGACTTTTCCAGACCTGCAGCGTTTGATGAAACCTGATTCTTAGACAATCTCCTCTAGAGTTGGCGAGTGGCTTTGTGCGCATTTGCTTTGGGAAGGGCGTGGCTGACCACATCGCCAAAACGACGTTGGCTAAGGCCTGCGGCCTGAAAACTCCAACAGCAACCGGTACCCAGCGACAACTTGCAGTGAGAGCTTGTTTGCTACTTGAGGGAACATGCCGTATTGCAAGTAAAGGCTCTCGCCAGTATGGTTGACATCTATTGAGAACTCCCAGCTTCTCCTTTTTCTGGTCCCAACAAGAGGGTGTTTGTTTTGTTTTGGTCTCAATTTCTCAGTGCCTCGACTTTCAGGTGCGGAGTATGTGGAGAACTGGGCCTCGACCTTGGGAAGCTGCTGTGTCAAGAACCTTTCATGGGAGTAACTCAATTCAGCGCTTGACTGACTTTGGCTTTTTCTTGGGGGTGTTCAGTCTTGCAGTGGGTTCGCGACCGAGGCTTCACCCATAAGCGTTGCCAGCTGATGCAGGTGCTTCTTGAACTCTGGCGTCAAACTGCTAGCGACTGGTCGTAAGCTTTGTCATCACTGAGGGTTACATCCCCGTAGACTCCTTACGCTGAGGGAGGGAGCTGAAACATATCCGCCCGGCAATGCCACAGAGGCCCTTAGTTTCGTTTTGTTTTCTCTTTTTGTTTCTTCTTTTTTTTCTTTCTTCTCCTCCTGCAGTACCAACAACACAACCTCCAGGCCCCTTAGTTTCGGGTGTTTTTGTTCCTCATGCAGTGCCAACAACACAACATCCTAGAGTCCCTCCAAGACCTCTGCGAAACAACAGCTACGAGGTGCTGGCCTGCCGTCGAGGGCATCCCATGATTGCGCGCCTCTCGCTGGCAGTTTGGCGGCGCAGGTCCTACCGAAGCGGCCCTACAGGGGACATCTAACGGCTAGCGCTACTGTAGCAGCTCTCTTTTGTTGTTTAGTGCTTATGGTAGGCCCAGGGTGGGCAACATGCAGACATTTTGTTCACGCGAACTGTGCTTGGTGACTTTGGAAGTTGTCCATACCGCGGGCCACTTTCAGTCAAGCATGCGGTGCATTAGAAGTATGGATTGTGGCGAGTGAGCGCAAGTTGGGCAGCGTTCCATTGATTTCGGGGTAGCCAAGCGTACGGCATGCATGCATGTGCGTCTAAGTCATGTGAGGGCCGTCCTAAAACCCCAATCAACGGTTTTGATGATCGCCGAACGGGGAGAAGTAAAAGTTGTCAAAAGCTGTGCGCGCGCAAGGAGCGCGCAAGTGCGGCCCAAGGGACGCGCAAGGTTACAGCTTTGATGGGTTTCATGTACTGATGTTGCTTGCCTAGCTTCATGAAAGGAGGTTATATCTTTTTACTGTACTTGTGTTTGTTTTTTTTGTTGGATGTTGCTTGGGTTGTGTAGGTCACAGGCTTGTTTGCAAGGGTGCAGCGTTTTCTTGAGTCAGACGCCAAACGAAGCCAAAGCTTCTGCGGTCATGACTTCAACAATCAGCAAGCTGACACGACCGCGCGCAAGTTGCGCGCAAGCACGAGAAGCCCCGGCAAGACATCTAGCCATATGCTGTCTCGGACGTCCTTAGCGGCGCGGTTCAAGCAATGGATAGGCAGCCGCAACATGCACTTTCCTTCTATCAGACTATATCCAAGCTGTGTGGCAGAGCCCGTCAGCGGGAAGAGCCTTTGTGGGTTGCTGTGTGAACGACAAACACACTGCTTAGAAAAGCTCGCGCTCAATCCACACGAAAACTTCGCAAACCGAGGGCAACGAAGCCGAGTTTCTGCGTCACTGTGCGCGCGTAAGTCCGCGCAAGTGCCGCGCAAGTGCGGCCCAAGGGCCCAATCCCGGGCAACAGAATATGGGACAACCCCCATGTAGCAAACTGGCAACTGCCAGGCCTGCTACATGATCTGCAGCAATTTGAGGAAACATATATTTCCCCTATCAATAAAATTCGGTCTATTGTAAATAATATTTTCCAAACCGCCGGGTCCCCAATACTGACTACTTTGACAATTCTAAGGGGGAGCGATTCGCGTTTTCCAACCAGCAGAAAATGACCTACTGTTGGACAAAATCCATCTCGCACCGCTTTGGAGCCATGGTTGAAACCATTGTGGGTATTTATCGCGGAATCGTCGTTCCGGGATTTTCTTAGATGGTGCGAAATGGATTTCGCAACCATCCACAGTAGCACTCTCCAATCCGAGGGTGGAAGGAGCTGTTCAACGGCTATTGGGACAGCATCCGGGCTGCTCGTCCTGGTTCAGTCAAGGCGGTTGAACAATTCCCGATTTGTCGGGCCTTTGTATATTGTTTTAAGGTCGGGGGCTGCTGACCTTAATCAGTTTTTGGGCGAACCCATCCCCTTGTTGCGCTGTTGGTTGCTAGAGGGTTGCGATTCGCTTGCTTGCGCATCGGCCAGTCCCCTTGACTGCTATCGGGTTGGATCTTTAGACTTTAACTTTTTGGGAAAGAACAGTGTTTTCCACACCCCCAAAAAAGTTGTTCACTTTTTGCCGGGGGGCCGTTGCAGCAACCAAGTCCCCAAAGAAAGCAGCAACAAAAAGAAACCGCCTGAGGCTCGGAAGGGCAGCCTGGATCCCTTGTTCCTGCCGGACCATCCCATGCCTAGCCCTTAGGCTCCGCCTGAAAAACGTGATGAGGCGGCTACAAAAGCCGGGTAGGGTGAGTGCCGAAGCACCAAGACCCGGAGAGATTGACGAGAAGGATCAATTTGTTTGCATCGACAGCCAGTGAGAGAAAGGCGTAAAGGGGAGAGTTCTATCAGAGGGATTTTTACGCTTTTGCGCCGGCAATGGGGTCAGGGCACGGGAGGAGGAAGTTTTCGGCGGCTCAGGTTCTGCAAGGTGGACTTGTCCCACATGCAGCGCTTCGGCCACGACATGCGGTCCTACCTTGCACCTGGGCATGCGTTGCTTGGTGGCTCCCAGCCATCCGGTTCCTTAGCTTGTTAGCTTTTTAGGGTTTAGTGGGATTTCCATTGGAGGTGTGCTTTTTCCCCACGCAGGTGTCAGGCATCTGCCTCTAAGAAGGCTTCAGGCAAAGTTGTTGGCCGCTTGTTGGCCGCTTGTTGGCCGCTTTGTGTTTGATAGCTTTTGGGCCGTTCAAAATATGGTCATGGATGTGGCATGTCTCATTTTGCGAATGCCGCCGTAGCACCAGGAAGGAGATTCCAGCGCACGAAGAAACCGCCGCCGTAACCCGTGAATTTGTGTGTGTGTGTGTGTCCTTCGAAGCATCAGCTTGAAGGCAGTGTGCGTTGAGGTGATGCACTCATGCTTCAAGAAGATGATTGATGAGGAGCGGGCCGGGTTCCAACCGGAAGTTTTTTTTTTCACTGAGCTGGAAAGAAGCGGTAAACTGCAGGTAAATAACCGTTTTCCACAGCCAAGCGAAAGAAGAGCGGGTGCTCAAATTTGTTGTTGCAGTTGGAGCCTTGCTTTCAGCATATCAACTGCTGTTTTGTGCTGGCTCCATTGTGTGTTGCAGACTCTGTTGCTAGTGGATGGTGACTGCCAGCGTGGTCCCACAAAATGACTCCGGCCGCGTTTGGTGCGCGCTTGGCAGAGGGCATGCAGGGCTTGCAGATGCAAAGGCACGAATGAGCGGATGATGCCCAACATAGCAAGATGGCAAGTGGGCACAGATTATTTTGTGCAATGGCCCCATGCATCCGCCATCTGATCACGATGGACTTTGGAGAAATGCGTTCCAGGGAAAGCTCGCACACGAAATTCAATGGCTGCTGGCACTGACTCAACTGCAACTTTATCCGCAGGCAACTACAGTTGCCTAAACAAGATATGTTGGTAGTCGGTCTCGTTGCAGGAGCCAGAAATGAGGCGCGTGTGGCAGGAGGAGATGGTGCTGCCAGGGGCTGAGCACGAAATTGGAGCCAGAAAGATGCGGCACCTAGTGGATCAATGAACTGCCCTGGTTGCGTTTCAATCACAGCCTTCTGCCAAGAAGTGCGGGCCACGTACGGCCAACGTGAAGCTTCGTTGCGCAATGCAGTTTGTACCCCTAAGAAACATGGTTGTGGGTCAACACCAATGGGATCCCATTTTGGGGTTAGGTGCACCACCCATGTTGGTCTATTGGAGAGGGGATTGGGATGTTCACTGGGGGTATGGGCAATGTGACACATGGCCACATGCGGGATGGAATTGCCCTCACTCATGAGCTGTTGGTCGCTCAGGCTTCGCGCAGATGAGCATGCCTTATGGCATATGGATGAGTGAGAGCCTCGAGGGGCCATGAGGCAAGGCAGGTCGCCCGTCCTTTCTTTTTCTCCTGGGCAACGAGCATTGAGTAGGTTCCAGCACCCCAGTTTCAGGAGCAGGGATGGACTGAGGGGCAAATTGAAGCTGAATCATTCTCAATCTGCGTTGCGTGAGTCGCTTTTGGTATCTTCCAGCCATATTTGCCACGCATGCCCAAGAACTGTCGCTTCCGCATTCGATTGGCTGCAAGGCCTGATGTGTGCTGGCAGCCGGAAGCAGCACTCAGGAAGTGGCTTGGTAAAGGAGAGGCAGGGCTCGGCTCTTTGCATCCCAAGATGGTTGGGATGGGTCAAAATTCAACCACCAGGAATTGGACCGCATGAAGTCTGTGGCAACCCATCTGCCAGGGCAACCCATTTTGGGTCATTCTGGACCAGCCAGTTCTTTTTCCCCCTCAAGCCCAAAGGGAGAACCTAGGCCCTTGAGAATTAGATGGTTTTCCTCTGTGTGTGTTGGGGATTGCTTGGTGAGCCCCATGTTCATAGCAGTCAGTCTTACTAGCAAGGTAGGGGTGTCATAATATGACATCAAAATAAGCCTGGTACGGTTGTGGTACGGGTACATGTACACACATGCCGAAGGGAGACGCAAGCAGTGTTTTGATGTGTAGCAGGTTTGTGAGCATGAACTTGGCACAGCAACACGTGCCAGGTGTACAGACTAAGTAGTGGCCAAACGACAAGAGATGATGCATTTCGAAGCTGAATGGTGCAAAACGAGAACCTCAGGAGAACGTGCAAAGCATGTAGGCCTTGAACATGAACAATTTTGATCGTGTTGCTTGCCATGCATTGCTGTTGGGCATGCTTGCCGCCCTAGGCTTGGTGCCTAGTTGTGGCAGCAGTGGAACAGATTCTGGCGTGGTCAGCGCTTTCCTTACGTCCACTGCCTGGGTTTGACCGGCTCCACGGAAATGTCAAGGGATACGGTTCAGCCTGCTGCATGTGCTTGCCCGATGGGGAGGAAATGCTGCATGGGAAGATCACGTCATCAAGCACTGCCCAGTACTGAGACTTGGCAGCGGTTTGATGTGATGGAGTCTTTGCTTTGCATAGTTTGCTTCTTTGTTCTTCAGGCTGCTAAATGTCCCCCCCCCCCCACAAACGTCAAATGATTGTGACAGGGCATGCGGTGGGTTGGGCGTTTAGCGAGCCGGTGCAAACCACTGCATCATTGCGCAAAAGTCCGGCTCAGGTTTGGCTGGTCAGCAGTCAACAGCATTGAGCGAGACAGTTAAACTCCCGAACGTCCTGTTGTATAGGCAACCGCAGTTGTGACTAGGCACTGGGGCAGGTGTTGGGTTTCATTTCAGCTGGTGACCAATCGTTTTGGCTTGTTGTGGATGGTGTTTAGTGCTGGCTGTGAGAATTGCTTGTCCGGAGCCCGAGCGACAAAATATCGCGGGATGTGACATATCGGACGATGCTGTGTCAGGATACCTCCTTCATGCCAGACCGACCATGAACTTTTCCTTTCGCCCATTTGCTTAAGAACCTGTTTTCATCACTACTGGACCATGGACATATATCTTTTTTCCAGGGAACTTCAGCAAGTGGAAGTCATGGTTTCGGATTTTGGCAGGTCTTCCGCTTGAATCAACGCCTCAGGAAGTTCACCCGGACCTTCGCCCAACTCTTGGACCGCGAGCCGCGCCAGAGGCGGGCTTCGGCTTTTTATTGGGCCCCAACGGACGCTCAGCACTTGGCTGTGGGTACATTTATGACACCTTGGTAAATGGAACTTGAGCCACACCCATTTGAAAGCTCCGCCTCAAGGACATGTCCACGGGTGGAATGGGGGCCAAACTCCTGCAATTCGAATTCGACCCTGAGAAACTGTTTCAATCTTGGCGATGCCTCATTTCGGGTGGCTGAAATTTCATGAAGTGGGGCAGTAGCGGTGAATGGGGGATTATGTTTCCGGCCCAAGAAGTGCTTGGCGTTTTTTCTTTGCAGTGCCTGTGCTTCCCAACCGCGGGTCGATGCCTTGATGAAGGCTGCTGAAGCAAAGCGACTTTGCGGGGTATTTGTGTGAGGGATAGGCATCAAAAAAGGCTTTTCTTTTAGGGATCAACCAAAAACTTATTAGGGATCAACAAAAAAGCTTATTAGGGATCAATAAAATGTTTTCTCATTCCTATGGGGAGAAGGAAGGAAGGAAGGAAGGAAGGAAGGAAGGAAGGAAGGAAGGAAGGAAGGAAGGAAGGAAGGAAGGAAGGAAGCAAGGAAGCAAGGAAGCAAGGAAGCAAGGAAGCAAGGAAGCAAGGAAGCAAGGAAGCAAGGAAGCAAGGAAGCAAGGAAGCAAGGAAGCAAGGAAGCAAGGAAGCAAGGAAGCAAGGAAGCAAGGAAGCAAGGAAGCAAGGAAGCAAGGAAGCAAGGAAGCAAGGAAGCAAGGAAGCAAGGAAGCAAGGAAGCAAGGAAGCAAGGAAGCAAGGAAGCAAGGAAGCAAGGAAGCAAGGAAGCAAGGAAGCAAGGAAGCAAGGAAGCAAGGAAGCAAGGAAGCAAGGAAGCAAGGAAGCAAGGAAGCAAGGAAGCAAGGAAGCAAGGAAGCAAGGAAGCAAGGAAGCAAGGAAGCAAGGAAGCAAGGAAGCAAGGAAGCAAGGAAGCAAGGAAGCAAGGAAGCAAGGAAGCAAGGAAGCAAGCAAGGAAGCAAGGAAGGAAGGAAGGAAGGAAGGAGGGAAGGAGGGAAGCAAGGAAGGAATTCCAGGAAGAAAGGAAGGAAGAGAGAAAGGAAGAAAGGAAGTAAAGGAAGGAGATCTGAAACATTTTGAGAGGTTAACAATATTTATTTCGGGAATCGGCGGATGCACCCTTTGTTGAATCATCGCTTCTTCGAACATCATTGGGGGGGCTGCCGCCCCCCCCCCCAACCCCCGCGCTGGTTTTAAAATGCTTACAGAGATTAACGCACCCTTTGTTGAATCATCACTTCTTCGAACATCATGGGGGGGGGCTGCCGCCCCCCCAACCCCCCCTCTGATTTTTAGAATGCTTACAGAGATTAACGCACCCTTTGTTGAATCATCACATCCTCGATGTTTCTTTCTTTCTTTCTTTATTGTTTTCTTTCTTTCTTTCTTTCTTTCTTTCTTTCTTTCTTTCTTTCTTTCTTTCTTTCTTGCTTTATTTCTCTCTCTCTCTCTTTCTCTGTCTCTCATTTTTCGCCTTTTTCTGCATGTTTATTTGTCTGTATCTTTCTGTATCTTTCTCTGTCTCTCTCTCTCTCTCTCTTTATTTCTCCGTATATTTCTCTTCATCGCTTGCGAAAGTGCTGCGCCTGCCACGAAATCTGCACCTGACCTTGCGAAAGTGCTGCGCCTGCGACCTTGCGAAAGTGCTGCGCATGCCACGAAATGAAGAAGTGTTTGTTGATCCCTGACAAGTTTTTTTTGATCCTCTGAGTTTTCATTGTAGTAGGACTCCAAGAGAAGAATTATTTTGACCCCTAATAAGTTTTTTGGATCTTCGGGTGAAGTTGTTTTTTGATGCCTAAAAAGTTGTTTTGGATCCCTCACCCTTTGTGTGATGGGCTCGGGCAAGTCAAAAGGACCGCCGGCCTCCCCAACAGCAGAACCAACAACCGCCGTTCAAAAATAGGCCTGTGAGTAGGCGCTGCTTTAGGGAATGTGTGACTGTTGTGGTGCAGCTAGAATGGTTTACAGTGGGCCAGCGGTTGCAGCCTTCTGTTGTCGCTTGCCTGCCACGCCCCTAGGCCTCAAATGTAAAGTGTCCATGCTTTGGGTGCTAGGAGGTTGCGTGAAGTGGCATACTTGTTGTTTGATGACTTCGGATACTTTGACAACCAGCACCGCTTATTCAGCTTGCAGGTTGCTGCATCCTGCAGTCAATTCAGATTGACGTTTATGTTTCGGATCTGCACTTTCCTTCAGGCAGAGACTCGGCGAATCAAGGGCCAACCCAACCTGCAAGCATAGAATGCTTCATGACTGTGGCCGTGCTGTAGCCGGTGAGCTTCAGGTGGAACAGGCATGCCCATTGGTCGGAAGAGCGAGCTCATGAACACTCAATACAGCTGGCCCTCCGCCCACACAATCCACCAGCCATCTCATCCATCAAGTTTCGTGCAGGTTCCTGATGCCAATCCCCGGAAGACCGGGCGAGTACCAGGCACTGGAAACATCGTCGGGTCGGGTGCAGCTGTGCCAAACAAATGGAAACCACTGCGGTGAAACGGCTTGCGTGAAGATTGGGAACCAGGGATTGCATGTGGGCGCGCAACGCGCGCCATGAACATGCGATCAGCCATGTCAACAGCTTCAGCGCATCTCAGGAGGTGTTTGGCGGACAGCTGTCATGCTTGAACAGGGCAACTGTTGCTTCGCCGCTGTGGTTCCGGGGAGTTGTGGCATCCCCGTTGGCTTGCCGTATCTGTTGAATATGCCTTGGCTTCAACCAAGGGAAGAGGATCACTGCTGCCTGGATAGAAGTCACACAACTGATCAGAAACTACCTCCGGTTGAAGCAACTAGCAGCCCAGAATGCAGGCCACAACCGCACGCGGGTTCATGATACGCAGATTCTTGCAACTTTGATGCGCTTGCTTTTCGCGGAGGACGCCTTATCGCACTGTGATGACGGCCATGCATGCCACTACTTCTTGACACTGACACGTCTTCACAACGCAGGCGACAATTGCCCCACGGACCAAAAGATACCAAATCCCAAAGAAACAAAAGTGACACGTTTGTTTTTGTTTGTGGCTTTATCGGCCTAGTCTCATTCATACTTCGGCTATGTTTTGGTGTGCGTTCCAGGCTCCTGAGATGGTGCCCATTGCCAAGAGCGTGTCGCAAGTGGCGGGTGCATGTATGCATGACAAACCTGGATGCGGCCATGTTGGCCAGGAATCCGAAGAAAACATCCTGCAAGAGGGTTTTCTACATTGGGAACTTCCTGCCAAGCCCTGTGCCCCAAAAAAGCTATCCTCCCTTCCACTACCATGGCAACTGACAGGGGGTCCCTTCAAAAGGAAATTAATCTTCCAGGTACCTCCCCACAGGTGCCATGTTAGTTGTAAGGGTAGGCCCTGAAAGTGCACGCTTTGACATCTTTCGACCCGGTCACAGGACATGGCTGTGGGTCAAAAATAGGTACCCAAAATGGAACCCTGGTAAGTGGCACCGTGGACCAAAGCCTGTGGTCCAATTCCTGGTGGTTGAATTTTGACCCACGCCCAACTAGCATCTTGGGATGCAAAGAGCCGAGCGCCTCTCCTTGACCCGTCCAAAGGCATCGTCTTTTGTCTAGAAAACCTTGCGCCATGTGAGGCCTGCTGCCTGCTGGGCGCCGCCTTTTGTGCGGCTCTGGCTTTCGAGCCCGTGGAGTGATCGACCAAAAAGGCTTCTTGCGCACTGCGCGGGCGGGGGGGGGGGGACTGGGGGTGGGGAAGGGCAGGTGGGGGTGAGGGGTGGTGGGGGGGGGGAAGGGGGGAAGGGGGTTGAATCCTTTGCATAAAGAAATGGTACTCTTGCAACCTGCAGTTTGAGAGTTGAGTAAGTGAAACGCTACAGGGCGTTCCCTCCTCGCCTGGTAGGACTGATCGGAATCTAGGGCAATGCCAAGACAAAAAGATCGAATAGACATTTACAATGTGTCAAAACATGCATCTCAAGCCAGAGCTCCATGTGATTCTGAAGCCCCACTAGCCGCAAGTCGGCTCTCAAAAACGTGGCGTTCTTGAGCGATGAGGCAACAAAGCAAGTTTGCATTCTTAAGCCTGCTACTTGGAAGGACAAATAGTCGCCGGGCTTTGGGCATTGGATGTTTTTGCGTTTGGGAATTGGGGGCACCTGGGCGGCATCCAACTGGTCAGATGGCAAACATAAACATTGGCGACACACGCCGAACCTGTTTTATCCTTTCAGCTATGGAGCGAGGGACTCAAATATGAACTGGTTGGCTGCAACATGGATTTATATTCACTGCCCATGAGGCTCACAATGGCCATGTGTCAACCCGAGTTCATATCTTCTTGGTAGCACATTTCCTGGAGTTGCTGCGAAGAGCACACTTGGTGCCCTGCGTTTTGAGGCATATGCCATCCATCCTGCAGCGGCAGGAGGCAGGAGATGAATTGTCTGAGAGCTGTGTGCTGGACGTGCGGAATGGGTATGGCCGACGGTGCCAGCGCTGATATGGCTGGCTTAGATCTCCGAAAGCCAACAATTGGCCCACTGCAATTTCCGTCCATTTGAGGATGGCCCAGGGCACAGGCGCCGAATTTTCCGCGAAGGCCATTGGGCCGCAAGACAGGAACCAGAAAGGGGTTTCGGGCAACCGCCGGAACACCAACAGGTCACGGGAGTTGTGATGTATGACTTGGTGGCCAAAGAATTGCATCAAACTGGGGTGCCTTCACGAAGCCAAACTCGCCCTTCTGCGCGCTATGCCACTCATTCTGTTTGATGGTTGGGGTGCTTTGGCATATTTGGCTACTTTGGTGCTGCAGGTTTGCAGTCATTAGCTTGCATTTGTGCAAGGCAATGTGCAACTTACTTTTGGCAATGTGCTGGGGCGATTTTCCTGCCTAGCTGAGCCCCGAGCCCCATCAGCCCGACAGAGTGCAGACGGCTCCTTTGGTGCCATTGGTGCCATGGGTAGCTCCAAAGAGCTGGAACCTATGATAGACTTGCCCCAAGATCTGCTCCGGAGCCCACTCCCTTTCTTCATCGTCAGAATGTGCCTGGTGACGGCTTTCCTGGGTCGTATAGAAGTGTTCCAAGCTTCAATCTGACGTTTCGCATTTCAGGTTTTCTATAGCAGTAGCCAAAGCCCCCACAGCCAGAACAACGGTCACATGGAAAAGACAGACAAGGTCAATGGCAAAGCCTGTTTGCTGCCAGGCCATCGATCAGGCTGGCAGCCGGGTGCCCAGAGGCTGCAGCTGTGCGGGAGATGACAATGCCTCTCAGTCTTTTGATTGCTTCCTTGAGCCCTCCCCATGGAACCTTGCAATGCTTCCATGACTCTTGGAGTGGAGTCGCAAGTTGGCTCCTCCCTGAAATCTGCTGAGAGTATGGACTCAATTGCAAGGACAGTGGCTGAGGCGCACACAGACAGACAGAGAGGCACAGACACAGAGGTTTAGAGACAGACAGACGACGGACACACAGGCAAAAAGATACAGAGACAGAAAGACAGACAGACAGACAGACAGACAGACAGACAGGCAGGCAGGCAGGCAGGCAGGCAGGCAGGCAGGCAGGCAGGCAGGCAGGCAGGCAGGCAGGCACAGCCAGAGATAGGCACAGGGAGGCGGAGACGTACCGTGCAGAGAGACACAGACACGCCCGCACGCGCTCGCACGCGCGCACGTGCACCAGCACCCGCACCTGCACAAGCACACGCGCACGCACACCCGCATCCGCACCCGCCCACGCGCACACAGAACCTTATAAGATGAAAAGATACCGAAAGGAAAGATATGTCATTTGTTTTCTTATCATAATTCACTTTCTGAATTTCTTTAAATGAAAAAAAAAACAGATATTAGATAAAAGACATAACATGTACTTCTCTTTCATTTTCCTTTCCTATGCCTTCTCCATAAGCAGGAAAGGGAAAGATGTTAACATAAAATATCTGAGGTTGTATGACGTCCCTACCATCATTTCGCTATTAATAACAACCTAGTTACATCATCCCACATCAACTAATTATTTCTGAGGTCTAACCGTGTAACCAGATAGAAATACAATAAGAACAAGATATAGAAAGTAAAATAAATAACCAAAGAAAATAAATAATATTGGATGGGTTCCTTCCCTCACCAGCCAATATTACACCGTCTCACCTATAGATCCATTATCCCGGAGGGCGTGCAACTGGAGGGCAATTAAACCATGTCAGTTGCCAAGCATGTGATTGCCTGAGAGCTGAGCGCAGTTCATGGCTGATGAAAAAGTAACATGTAGTCTTCCCTGGCCAGCAAAAACAAAGCATACTGCGCAGGTATTACAGTGGGAGCCATCATGAGCCATCGCTGACCCAATCAATTCAGGGTCTGGGAAGATGGGTTGCCAAGTCAATCCGCGAGTAAGCTGCTCAAAAATTGCATTTCAGATGCCCGGATTGTGGCGAATTCGGGATTCCAGTTTTCTCTGCTGCCAAGGCGTTTCTCATCGCTGGCTTTTTGCCAAAGAGTTTCAGCTCGACCGGGCCTCAGCTTCAAGTTGGACAAGGTCAAAATTTGGGGCCAGAGCCAATGCCCATTGGCTCATGGAAGTTCCGTGGTTCAGTTTTTTTGTTTTTTTTCCGCAGGCGGACTTCTGCCTTGCGCTTCCCTGCTTCTCATCTGGCCGTATCCAACCTGTGACCAGCCACTGGGCACCTTCCAGAGGCGCCATCGAAAGCTGGCTAGGCACCACCTCCGCTGGCGGCTGTGGCAGTGGCCTTTGGTGCGGGCCAGAGTGAGCATCCAATAGCAGAGAGCTGTGGGTTGACAGCAGGCAAGGGCCACGAGATATTCCCTTGCTGCATGGTTTCAGCATCACAGCTTGGGCCAAGTCTAAGTCTAGGTCCCCCAGTACTGCCCTCTTACCTTTTTTGGGGGAGGGTTTCCCCATGTACTAAAATAGACTTCAGAAAAAGGGCACCCTTATTCAAACCTCTCTACTGAAGGACCTAGAAGTTATCTTTGGGTGGGTGTACGATTTTAACAGGAGCATTAGGTCCGACGGGCAAGGCTAGGTAGCAACAGGATATCCCTCAAACTTGCTTTACAGGGTGCTTCAAACAAGGAGCTGGTCATTTTGTTTAATTTTTAGCCCTGGGGGTCGCAAGCTCAAATCCGGTGTTCCGACAGTTTTGCCCTTCGCAGATGTTTTGCTTGAGGCATGGTGGGTGGTCCAGGTGCTGTCCCATGGCAACAATTCAGATCCCCGTCTTTTGGCTCGAGTCGGATGCTACCACCTCCCACCCTAGGTGCCCCTCAACAGCAGCAACACGCCACAGCTCTTGGTGGCTCCCAGCCATCCGGTTCCTTAGCTTTTTAGCTTTTTAGCTTCTTAGTGGGGTTTTCCATTTAGCCCACTAAAAGTTAAACTTTTGGCGGGGGATCTGAGGACAGCCTAGAGCTTACACACCCATACCTCACACACACCCAAGCCCACCTCCCGCAGCCGAAGCCAGATAGTTCAGGCGGCAGGTGTCTCAGAGTAATTTTGTTTAGTGCTTGGAGGTTTTGCGTCTTGTACCGGCATTGAGCATGTTTCTTGACTGCTATTGGGTTGGATCTTTAGGCTTCAACTTTTTGGGAAATCAAGGGGGTTTCCACTAAACCCACAACAAGTTAAACTTTTTGCAGAGGGATCAGCAGCAACCAAGGTTTATGCTAAGCTTCAGCTGTTACCCGCAGAACTCTCCTCCGGGCATGAGCCACGGTGCCCTTGGTTCGGAATGCCTCACAGCCTTAGCAGCGGAGTTTATCGAGGACCAAGCGGGCGGGAGAATTTCCAGGGAGCCGACAAATGGGGGTTGATCAATATCCCCTTCGGCCACAAAATGGCCATGGGTAACGTTTCCCTCTTGGTCATCGCATGTAAAGGATATTTTCATCAAAGCAAAACAAAAGCACATTTATTGACAGCAATCTATACTCGCAGCATCCCAATCCAGTTATGGGCTGTAACGACCGCCAAGCCGTAGCACCCTCAGTGAATTTAGTGTGAATTTAGTGGCCTGATGGCTTAAACAATTTTTGGCTGTTTCTCGAAAATGGAGTGTTTCTCAAAATGCTTGTGTAGGGGAGACCCGACAAAAAGCCTCGCATCGGCATCCTTCTCCGCGTCGCTTGATCTCTCCCGACAAATGATGGAAATTCCAGGATTTGCTTACTGGTGCAATAGGCGTGGAATGAGAATTCGAATGACCCCAAGAAAAGCCATCCAACTGGTGGTTTCCTTTGAGGGGACCAAAGCCTGTGTTCATTCAACCCCATTGATTTGGGGCCCTCAAAATTGGTTGTTTCCAAGCCCCTGAGGGGTCAAGGTTCTCCATTGGAGGGCCCGGGGGTCTGCATTGGGGGCATGACCTTTAGGGCACATTCACTAATTTCGCACCGAAAGGCCCTTGGCAGAGCCAGGAGGTGGCCGCCAGAGACCTCTCCGAAGCGGTGGGGGAGATCTGTGCGCAGCACCTGCTCAGCAGGGTGCAAAGGGCCGTGAAGCCCAGCGTGTGAGCCCCGCACAGTTCAGGCGTCAGCTTTTGTGTTTGTTTTCTTTGGAAATTCAGAGTCGCTAACTGGGGTCCTGTCGCTGATTTTTTTCAACATTCGGAGTCGACAACTGGGGCCCGGTGTGTTTCCCTTCAGCCGACCATTGTTCCACACTACCAGGGAACGCATTGCGCTGATTGGGATTGGGGCTTCTGCAGCCGGGCCACATCTCTTTGGTAAGTACGGGGTCACGGGTTCTTTTCTTATCCTGCTTGGACAATCCAAGGATGCAGAGGACATAAAGCCCAACTGGCAGACAGCCGCCACTTCTGTTTTGACATGTTTTGACAGGGGTGGCGGGTGGCAGCTTCTTGTGGGGGGACGCTTAGCAACCTCATCGGTTGGCTGTTGCTTTATCTTTTGGCTTGCGTTTGCAAGTTTGCCGTGTCGTCTAGCAGTGTATGGCGTTTGCCGTGAGCGTCTAAGTTGATATTGATATAGTTCGGTTGAATAGGAAATTGGCGGATGTGCTCGCTACTGCAGGGCAGTCACATGGGCAGTGTTTATGCAATTTCAGACGCTTTAGGTTTGCTTGCCCTCAAGTCCGTTCACTCCTCTTCATGATATACAACTATAATAACTGTGGCAAGCTTGGCTTGCATTCGTACTGCCTCGCTGCGTTGAGGTCTATTCAGCACTGGGTGGGTATTCCAATCAGGCCAGGCTGAAAGCGGACCGGTCTGTTTTCGGGCGAAAGGTTGAAGTTGCTTGTTGGCTTCCCCGCACCTTCCACTTTTTGTACTTCCACTCGGAGTTTGGGCTTCAGCTACATTTTCCCTCTCCTCTGCCCCCAAGAAAAGCAATTTACTGCACTGGTCAGTTTGGGATTGTACAATTGAATGCAATCTTGCTGTTGCATTCCCATGGAAGCAATCGTACTTGGTCAAAGGGGTTTCTCTTTTTTGGAAGATTTTGTCGAGTCTTTTTCAGGCTCAAGTCTCAGTATCCATCGCAAAGAGTCAACATCCAATGGCTGACAGCATTGCAGAGTCGTTCAACAGATTTTCATCAGAATAAATATTGTGGGTATTGATGTTTGTCTTCAGAGCTGACTTGCTCAGATTTTGGAATTTCTCTTCCAGCAAAGGTGCTGGAATGATGGGATTGGAGAAGGTTTCTGAAAAAGCGCCTTCTGAAACAAATTTGAAGAGTTGAACATATGGGCTTGAGTCTTGGTGGAAAAGGAACAAGGGCGGTGTGGGGTTTTGTGTCTTGGAATTCATTTAGCAAAAGGAGATTGCCGCCGCGGGCATATCTCTCCGAATGCACCGGATCTCTTTCCACCTCCGAAGTTAAGCAGAAAAGAGCCCGCCTAGTACTGGCCTAGGGGACTGGCTGGGAAGCGCTTAGGGTAATGTCGGCTTTTGTTTCGTTATAAATGTTGGTTTGTGCCAAAAAGCTGAAAGGGTTATTATTTCTTTGTGAATGATTGCCTGGCAGGACCTTTGAGTTGAGTTTCGGAAAGGTCGGGAATAGGCAGCAGGCGAAGAATTGAATTTGCTGCGTGCCAGGAGCTCCACGTTGTGGTTGTTGCCTGTTCAGGCATTCAACGCAAGGCTTTCAGTGAAGGTGGGCAGCAGCGTTGGTAAGATTGGGGCATTGGGTTCAGAATGGCTGGGTGAAGCGCAGGAGCTCGCAGACGCTGCCGGGGTCCCAGCTGAAGGTGCGGGTCCCCCCCCCTTAAAGTGGACCGAAGTAAGGCGTGGACGGCTCAAAACGATGAGCGCCCGTCCCCCCACTCGCAAGATGCTGGGAATCAATGATTCCCTGGGCCAAGGGGACCGAACCTTTAAAGCATTGGGTCATTGGTATGCAGGGGTGGTTCAGAAGCAACTTAACTTGAATGTGCTGTTGGCCAGCCCTGGTATGAGAGTGGATGGCACCCGTTTAATCATTTTGACCCTCCATCTTAAAGGGACAAAAGGCCATTTGGCGCAGCAGTTTGTTACGCAACGCCACCGGCGGGCTCAGTGCGGGCGATTGGCTGCTCAAATCGCTGTTGCTGCATGTTACTGCGAGGGGCTTAAGTTGTCCGCGTGGTGGCTGGGTCCGGGCAACGGGAATGTCTCAATATGATTTTACTGCTGTGTCGTGCTGACTTGGCATGCATTTGTAGTATATCTTGCTTTCTCCAGGGCAACTCATCAAAACTCCCGGACATGTGGCCCACATAGGCCCTTGCCAAAAGTAAGCACCAGCTGGGAAGCCAACACTTGTCATGGCGTTCTGTTCTCCGAAATCTGTTTAGGATTCGAGCGCTTGGGAAGGGGAGGGCCGCTTTCGCAGGGCTTCGAAGTTTGGGCCGAGCTCGGCTCGTGGTCTCGGAGGTCGAAACCTTGGCCAGAGATTGCGTCACGCTGCCCGAGTGGGTGGAGCGAGACTTCGAGCAGGAGGGATGGCCCCGGAGCGAGGGACACGTTTTCTGCTTCCCAATTGTTCAGTGGGACGCTGACTCCAGTTTTCCAGTTCAGTTGGTTCATCACGCTGGAGGCATGCAAGCAGATGGCCACCGGGCAGCAGATTGATCAATCCCCAAACTTCTCGACTTCAGCAAGCACCCATCAACTGGGCTACCGCGACAGTACCGTGGAATTCAATCCTGCTTGGGCAAGCAGGATGCTATAGGATGCTACGCTGAAGTCCTGGTGTCTGCAGACAGTCTAAGCACTGCCCGCTTCCAACTACTCAATCAGGGCAATAGCTTTTGGGTGGTTTCCAACCAATGGTCATCGCATGTTCATCCGACCTTTTGACCAACCTCCGTTTGCCAACCTAGCCTGGCCTGGCCTGGCAGACGCGAGTTCTGCCGACACGAGCACCCCCAGATCGCATTCCTCAAGAGCGAAACACAATTGGCTCTTCTTCCATTTGCTGAAGCGAATATGTTGTTTTTCCCCTTGTCGGGTTTAAAACAAATCTTTCACCAGGCATATGTTCTCATCTTTCCAGGAGGCGAAAACGCACATGGACGTCTTCTTGGAAAAGCAAGCAAACCAGCGGCCGGGAGCTGACAGACCAAACCGAACCGGAGCGGACCGGTCCAGGAGCAGACCTCCGAGGATTTCTGCTGGGCCTTCGGCCCCGCAGCGGCTGAGGTGCGGCCTCTGACCGGCCACCCGAAAACCCCAGAGCCTGAAACCTCAGCACAGAGCTGCGCGATGACTTCGGGAGCCGAAATGGAGTTCCGAGCGCCCAGTGGTTTCGCAGGCAGCTGCTGCAGCTGCTGCCGCGGTGGCGGGCCTGGCAGAGCTGCCTGGCAAGTCGTTAGCCTCGGCGTCTGCGGATCACTCATCTCGGGTGGAAGTACATACCCCTTGTTCATAATTACCCCTTGGCTTCCCTGGTTTCCAAGCCACTTTAAAAGGGGCATATACCCCTTTGGGGGAGAGGGGTATGAACGGAGGAAGTTTTTTGGGTTCATTTGCCCAAGGAGTATGTAAAAGGGGGATGTACAAGCATCCCTGGATCATCATCGCCTGAAACAAACCTTTGCCCTTGCATACCCCGCATTTGCTGCTCTTGTACATATTATTTGACCCTGACATGCCCCAAGCACATGCCACACTTTTTGTTTGTAGATATATTTCAGATATCTTTTCAACATATCCCGATGTGACAGGTCATTCCAAGGTTCTTGTGGCAAAAGGGTTTCAAAGGTAGTGGCTGGTCACTAATGTCAGACGGCAATTGCGGTTATCCAATGGTCTGGAAGTATAAAGCAAACAATGCGCTCTGGCTTTCCCAATCAGCTGATTGAGTGTTCCTGGACATGCTCATACTGTGGATGGACGAAATCCTGCACCACCTAAGAAACCTTGGAATGATTCGATTCCCCCACGAAACATAATTACCACCAACCGTGATGGTTTCAACCATGGTTTCCTTTCGTGGCGCGAAATGGATTTCGTCCTCGCCCCAGTATCCATCATTCTGCAGATCCGTTTCCTGGCGCAGTGTGTGGGCCTGTCGAATTCGAGGCCGGGGATGCTGGACGACGCCCAGCTCGCCGGACTCCTAGCGCGGCATAGGTCTTTTGAAATGAGCCCTCCTTTTGGTTGATATACTTCAAGGGACTCAGTTCAGGGGAGCAAGTGTGATTCCCATGGACAGGGAGCACAAGCAAGAACTGTAAAACAACTCAGTTGCAGGTCAGCCGACAGGTTGGTGGTTTGGATTGGTTTGGATTTGGAGTTGCAGCCCAAAAAATGGTTCTGCCAGAGGGTAAACGGGGTTTAGTCCGCCCGAAAACCATCAAGCCGCCTGGCTCCAAACCACCAATATAGAGGGAAGCTGACTTTTGGTTGGCATTTCAAAGGAAACCAAAAGGACAACCAACCAGTTCAGGGGAGCGATTGTGACTTGTGATTCCCATGTACAGGGACTAGACAACTAGAAGCATGTGACAAGGACTCTGAGACGTTGAAGTGCTTGGTCGTGTGAAGTACGGGAAAGCAGTTCTTGGGCATTTGCGTCCTTCTGACACGTTGACCGCGGGCAGGCCCTTCACCTTTTCATGGAATATGCGGCATTTGGTACATGGCGTGCCCATGTTGCTGGGGCCGCAAAAAGGTTGCAAACTCAGGAAACACCTTGGTCATCTTTGCTTGGAAGCCCACTGTGGCCGCATTGATGTTAAAAAGCACTCGCGCCAGTCACAGGGAGTCTTTTGGCTGAGGCTTGAAATTCGCGTGAGAAGCGTAGAACTTGGCTTGGAATCCACTAGGCGCACCAAGCAGACGTGTCACAGGCGGGGAACCTTTTCTTTGGCACTTGCTTGGCCGCATGAGCAATCTGCAGTAGCGCATGGGCTATCCTGCGGCCACAAAGTTCACGGGTAAATGTCAGGTGTCCGCATTATTATTATTTTTAAACGTTGAAAAGCTGCTTCTTCCACAGCCACACCCTTTCAGAGGGAAAAAAACAAATCAATGGTGTGAAACTTCTGTCAGTTGCAGCTCCAAGTCAGCGATCAGATCACGCGAGTTTTCGGAGCATAGGATGTGGAGCAGGCCCTGCGTATGATTTGAGGGCCGCTTTCCTGAACAAAATGGTAATATTCCATTTTCTTAAAACTATTTGTTTGTTTTCCCTGTTTCGTTTCAAAGGGCATCTATCACTGGACATATTGTTTTGTTGTTTTTGTTATTTTGGTTCTTTTCCAGGGAGCGAAAATGCACATGGAAGCAATGCCCTTACACCTGACCGGTATTTTGCTGGAGGCTTTTTGCCTCAGTGTTTATTCGCGCGGGAAGGAAGTCCTTGGACGCGCCTCTCCTTTTTGCGCCACATTGGCTCCGAGGTGATGAGCGTGCACGGGGCCTCGGGCGGAGCTCGGGAGTTCGGCACGGGTAGCATACTGTGGATGGACAAAATCCGATTCGCACCACCCAGAAACAATGGGGAACCATGGTTTGTTGGTATTTACAGGGGAATCATCATTCCCAGTTTCATCCACAGTAGTGATACTTGTTGAGAGGTGGGTGCTCCTTGCTGGGTCCAGAAGCTTTCAAGCTGATGGGGCCAGTTGTTTGCTTCAGTGCAGTGGGGCATTTGTTTAGGAAGTCGGTGAATTGACGGTGTTTCTGATGAAGATATAGCAGAGAAGCATGACATGTTGTTTCTGGCCAGGATAGCCGTCTGCTAGTTGAGCACCCCGCATGGTACACTTGGCAGGAGGCAGGAGGCAGTTGCCTGCCTCCGGTGCTCGCCCGGTGGCCGTGAGTGACATTTTGAAATCGCCAGGCAGCCAACCTCGCAGCCACAGAACACTACCCTCCCCGCAGACGACCCCACGGCAGCTCCCGAAGACACCCCGAAATGGAAGACGTTGGTGACCCATTTGCGGAGGCCCCATTTGGGGGAGCTTGGGGCTGTTAGGCTGAGGGAGTGGGCGCATCCTGTTTGCATGGCAATGTTTTTCCCAACAGCTTATTTTTGGGCTACTGACCCACAGTGCCAGCGGCAGAGTGTGGGATTCTGCCACTGCAATGGTTTCAAGGACTGCCGTACATGAGCCTCAATATGCTGTGTCTTTGGCTTTTGTATGGGGGGTCCCACATTGTTTCCCAAAATGAAGGAGCCCTGCAGGCTGGTTTCCTTTGCGCTTCCTCTCAAAACCATCCCAAAAGGGACCAACGAACCGGAGAAACACCCATGTTGACCTCCCAAAAACGTCTGGCCCGGATCACTCGTCCACCGCGCGGAGGCTGGAGGCTTTCGCTCTGGACTTGGACTGCCAGAGCCCGAGCCAGGTTTTGCTGCTTTGGCCCTCCAATTTCGGATGCTGCATGAGACTTTCCTACCATGCATGAAGGCTGACGTGGCTTCTTTTTTCTCGCCGACTCGCGTTGAGCATCTGGATGCCCTGAACCTTTGCCAATAGCTTGCCAGCTTTCGCTGCTTGAAGGCTTGACATTCCACATGATGATTCGGATGGTTCCGGAAGATTGGTCAAGTTGGCATGCGCCTCAGTGGAATGAACACATTCCGGATGATTGGTAGTCCTTGTGCAACCCTGACACGAGCTGTTCTAATGAATGCAGCACGCACTATCGCCACTTTTATGCTGGTCAATTGGAGCTGGGTGATGTTGTTTAGAGTTTTGACCCAAAATGGTCAAGCGAGCCCTGCATGAAGGTCTCACAGCCTACATCTATGGCGGGTTATGCCGAACGGACAAAGAATCTGGAGGCAGGTCGCTTGAGGTCGGTGTCACCAGGTTTCCGATTCGTATCGCCCTTTGCTTGTTGCCACAACTCCGGGGCCATGGGAAGACTGGCACCTGGACCGCGCCTTGGTTGTTCTGGCGCCTGATTCCTGTCAAGAATCACGGGACTTAGCAACTGCTTTGTGTGCCCCTAGTCTGAACGGGATGCGATTGGAAGAGGGCCTTGGCCTTGTGCTTGATGCCGCAGCACCCCTTACCTGATCGTGAAAGCATCAGAGGATCAGAGACATGCAATGCGGCAGCAGGGTGGTGGAAATTTCCTGCTTACAAAGATGCCACGAGTTGGCGGCCGTGATGCGACCATCCACTGAGTCTTGAATTTGTACACGTAGCCCTGGCTGTCTTTTGGCCTTGGCTGATATAGTTTCCCTGGCCTAAACCTGCTGCACTTGTTCCAAGAGCTTCACTGCAAAATAATCGGCAACCTCAGACAACTTGCTGGTGCTCTGCAAGAGAATGACGTAGGGTGTTGGGAATGAATCTAGGGATTCCCTTAAAGGGTTCCACAGGTGATGGTTTATAGGTGTCATTCCCTCATTTCGTGCTGGACAATCAAGCATGTCATGTTGAAATAAGATTCTTCATTGCCAGTGAACTTGCCATCAGGTTGCCATGGTTGAGGCAGGGGCCTACCCAAGATCAACATGTTTGAGTCTGCCATAGTTTGATCCCCCCGTTCCCCAGAGTTCCCTTGGCAGGCAATCCCGACGATTCCTGGGAACGTATCACACGGAGCGGCCCTCGAGATTGGAAGAGCCAATGGCCGCTGCATTCCTTGGCTGAGAGGGGAGGGGGTCATGGATTTATTCCGGTCAGAGCGCGGAACGCACGTGCATCCTCTGCGAATCAGTCTGCAGAGTCATCTTTGGCCTTTACCTTGGGGCATTGTTCTGAGCTATGATCTTCTACGGCAACCTTCTAATACTTTCTCCGGGCTCCCGAAAGCTGGCCTCTCAAGCCTCTGGCTTGAGCGGGAGGATGAAGATCGTGTTGGAGCCCTTGCTCCAAAGATTTGGGGGGTGGCGCTGGGTTTGGCGTTGCTCGGCAGACCGGTTCCACCTGCAACGTTGCAGACCCGTTTCTTTCGGCGCAAAGCCTCGGGTACGGAAGATGCCAAGCGGACTTGTCCACCGAAACAAAGCCGGGAAGAGGCAGCAAGAGTTCTCTTCTGGCAAAGGGTCCCAACTTTTGGCACACCCTTGCTAAGTTGATGTTTGCAACTGTGGCAGACGAGGCAATTTCGTGAATTGGGCACCAAAAGTGAAGGTTGCCATTCCCAATGGTTCATCGACGCACCACGGCGTTTCCTTCCACTGGCCTTGCCCTCTCGTAGGTGCATACAAAGGCCGCTCTGAATGGCGTGAGGCGGTTTGATTTTATGTAATTCAGCAAAGGGACCCAACTGTAAGAGGGTAATGTCGTGAGGAAGTCGGCTCTTGACTTGCCGCGAGAATGCGATGGTCATTCATTGTCAGATGAGGGCTGTTAGCAAGACGAGCGCTGCTTCTCAACTAGCACCGCTATTGTTTGACGGACCCTGAGAGTGGCCCTGCAGCTGTTCTGCAGCTGTGCAGTGGCATGTGGGGATTGGCTGATGACTCCTCTGTCAGGTCTTTGCGTGCGATCACTTGCTGGACGGTAGCGGCACTGGGAAGGACTGATGCCATTGATGGCCGGAGCCCATTCTTGGCATGGGCGGGGAACGTCGCATGTTCCATTTGTGTATGGAAGTTTTGCCAATCAGTGTGACGTATATGTTCCACAATATGCGTGGTGTATCCCAAAACCGCCAGCCCAATGGCTTTTGTTTGTCTAAAGCACATTTCAGCGATAAAGAATCCAAATGAGCACATTCACACCATGTCCGGGGTTACCATACATAGTATTTCTGTACCGTAGATATCCACAAGCGGGTCGCTTGTTTGTGGTGCTCAAGGGAAGGCGTCTTCTTAAAGGCAGTCGAGGATCCGCAGCGCTGCTGCACGGCAGCTTCCCGTTCTGCGGATTCCCTGAGCACCGCGAGCAATTGCAAGTCAAGTGGATTGCAAGCTAGTTTGACTTGTATAAAATCTGGTTCCAGCAGAATGTGGCAAATCAAGGGTCATTCCCTTGATAGAAAGCCCAACTGCTTTTTCACGGGTTTTCCACCTACTGCTCACAGCTAACAGAGGCAACGCGGCTGTTTTCTCTGCTGCTGTTGAGTTGGATCGTTAGACTTATTTTTTGTTTCTTTTCATATTTCCTTTCAACCAGCAGATAGTTAATCTTGTTGCTCCTCACGTCGCAACGGTTCGTTACGCCGGCTAAAAGCGAACTAGGGGGATCTACAGCACCCGTTCGTTTCTGGGCTGACTCGGACAGGACTGCAGGCTACGAGCGCGTCTCCTCGGAGGTGCTGTGGGAGCTGGCCGTCGGGAGCCTCAGGGCCTCAGAGCCTCGCATGGGTGAAACGTCTTGGCGAAGCCGGCCATGCCATCCGGTTCCAAAAGGCTGTTGTGAGCCTTTTGGTCTGTTTCGTGGTAACCTTCCCTTTGATCTGACCCACGAAAAGTTAGTGACTTTTTTCGCGCGGGATCTGAGGGCAGCCTAGAAATGGTTCAATGGCAGGCCCTAGAACTGAAAGCGTTTTGGGGTCGATAGGCCCAGATAGGCTCTGGGGTAGTGCGGTGCAGATTTCAGGGAGGGTTCCGGAGGGTTCCAGGGCTGTTGGGAATACCACCACTTGGGCCTGTTGTTTTTTGCAACAGTTGGCCTGCTGAAGTTGTAGTTTCCATCTAATCCACTAAAAGCTAAACTTTTTGCAGGGGATGAGGGCAGCCCAGCATAGATGTCCCAAGAAAACACCTTAGCTCATTCACTGCCGAGATGGGAAACTTGTGAGAAATGAAACTTGATAGTGCTGAGCAGGCTCTTCTAGCCCCCTCCTGGTTATTTGGGATTAGTTTGGGTCATTGTTCTAGGGTGTAATCCCAGAGCGTGCAGGTCGCCGTCTGACAGCCTGAAATTGTATGTTTTGGGTGCCCCTGAATATCGGTGGGCACCTTTGTCATTGCCTTGCTGAGTCAAGACCCTCTGGACACAACGGCAGAGAGAATCCCAGAGACCCTCTAGACCCTTGCAGAGAGAGAGAGAATCCCAGAGACTTGATAGTGCTGAGCAGGCCCCTCACCGGTTCTTTCGGAGTATTTGGGATTAGTTTGGGTCGTTGTCCTAGGGTGTAATCCCAGCGCGTAATGGGAAAGTAGTTAGACCAGTGACACAAATTTCAGAGTCCCCCGGCAGCGCGCCCAGGGCGGTGACACCTTATGGGCAGCCGCCTCAGCTTCCTTGCGGCCGTGTGCGCGAGCCAGCTTCAAGGGTTGCAAAGCCCTGGCCGAAAAATGCACGAAATTTGCGCACTAGCACCAAATAGCCCGTGCAAATGTGGCCATGAGTCATAACCCATGCCTCCATTTTGTGATGTTCACCAGGGGTACAGGGTTTTGACCCACAGCCATACAACTGATACAAATGTTGCAATCCGAAAAGTTGGCCATGAGCCTTCCTATTGCATATTTGTTCAGGCAACCCTTGTAGTTGGTGGTTTGGATTGGTGGTTTGAGGATTTGAACCCTTGGTTCTTGTAAAGGGGAAATGTGAACCAGCCCTTCAACACCAAGCCAATCCAAACCAGCCATCAGAGGGAAGCTGACCACTTCTCCCATTTGCTGCTGTATGTTTAACTCTTTTTTGCCATGTGTAGCTTCCCCCCTCTCCCCCCCCGCTGTGGAAAAGGTTCGGTCAACAAATCAAGTATATAGTCCAAAGTCCATTTGGGAGGAGATGGCCATTCTCAGTTTCCCGCCAAAGCCTATGGACATGGCAATCTGCACATGTGATTGTAGTTGCTTGTAGGGCTTTGGGTCACCCGTCAGGCCGCGCTGCTCCTTCGGGGCGCGCTGGACGCTCAGCCGGCGCCGCCGCAGGTCTCGGCGAGCCGAAGAATTCTGGCGGCGCCCAAGGCGCCACTGGCGACGTTTCCAATGGCGACGCAGTGCTTTGAAGGAACACCGGTGATAATGAAGGGTATAGGGTGTCTTTTTGGGGTTGTTAAGGGGACCACATGGAAAATAGCCATTTCGGGGGGGTGATGATGAAGTTGGAGGGTGTTTGTTTTTGGGGTTGTTCAGGGAACCAAACGGAAAAGAGCCGTGGGGAGGGGGGGAGGGTTCAGGCTATTTGGGCACCTGCCTATCTTTTGTGGGTATAGGCCGAATCATGCGTGTTTGTTCAGGACGTTTGCGGGAATCATCAACATCGTTCAAGATCACGGCGCAGTGGGTCGTTCTGCACTTGAGGCCCTTCATCCTGGAAAGATAAAAAACAAATGACAAGAACATGTACCCTCCCTTCCACTAACATCCGTGGAAGGGTACCTCAAAAAAAAGTTTCCTCTTGTAAGGACTCCATGTCAGGTGCCATGTTAGTTGGAGTGAGAGTATTTTTAAAAGAACTCAGCCAGGAGCAGCGCAACCTATTGGGCAATTGCTTCAGCTCAGCTTGTCTAAAGGCACGCGTGCATTGAGGACAAATGCCGGTCTAAGGGCTAGGAACTTTCTCCCGTCAGCAGGCTTGGAGTGTTGAGTTGCAACGTAGGGCCAACTTTCTTCCGTCAGCAGGCTTGGTGTGTTGAGTTGCAACGTCTTGACGGTATTTCACGCATTGCCCCAGGCCTGCCACTCAAATTACCTGCCGCGGCTTGTTTACTCTGCTCCTTTGGCTGTGAGCAAGGCAGTTTGCCGCTGTGGACATGTGAACGCATTGCCCTTTTCCAGGTGTTCTTTGATGCTTGCTCCTTTGTTCAGGCAAATTGTTGGGCAGAGATACAGCAGCTCGGGCATGTCGAGCAGTTCACTTCACACTCCACAGGAGCTGCCTGTCTTGCAGCAGCATCTTGTGAAAGCCTTCCTGGGCTTGCACACGCCGGATGTGGCCTTTGAGGCATGGAACATGTGGCCGGAATCCATTCAGAGCGACCTGCCCTTTTGGATGTTGACCTTTCAGCTGCCTCGTTTTTTCAAGCACATCAGCAGACTTTTAGCCACGGTTGCGACTGGTTCTCACAAGTTCCATTCAACCCAGTGAAATTGGCACACCCAAGCCAAGCACGGATTGCAGATTTGACGTTCGAAGCAAGATGGGGAGTTGGGGCTGGAAGCCAGACGGGTCAACAACCAAATACGAATGATGATGGTGTGTGTGTGTGTGTGTGTCAGCTTCTTTGTGCGTGCTACGGGTGCTTCTTTGTGTGTTTGTTTCGTTGTGTGCTTGTGTGCTTATTTGTGTGTATTTGTGTGTATTTGTGTTTTGTGTGTGTGTGCATTTGTGTCGACGTGTGTGTGTGTGTGCGCGTGCATTTGGGTGTGTGTGTGTGTGCTTGTGTTTGTTGTTTTCGCTCTTGGGTTTGTGTTGCGTTGTTTTGCTTGTTTGTGTGTGTGTGTGTGCGGGCGTGATGATGTGCTTTCGTGGTGTGCGTGTGTGACCGTGCTTGTGAACGTGCGTGCATGCTTGCGTGCGTGGTTGCGTGCGTTGCGTTGTGTTGGGTTGTGTTGGGTTGTGTTGGGTTTTGTTGGGTTTTGTTGGGTTGTGTTGGGTTGGGTTTGGTTGGGTTGGGTTTTGTTGGGTTGTGTTGGGTTGTGGTTCGTTGTGTTGGGTTGTGTTGGGTTGTGTTAAGTTGTGTTGGGTTGTGTTGGGTTGTCTTGCGTTGTGTTGGGTTGTGTTGGGTTGTGTTGGGTTGTGTTGCGCTGTGTTGGGTTGTGTTGAGTTGTGTCGGGTTGTGTTGGATTGTGTTGGGTTGTGTTGGATTGTGTTGGATTGTGTTGAGTTGTGTTAAGTTGTGTTGGGTTGTGTTGGGTTGTGTTGGGTTGTGTTGGGTTGTGTTGGGTTGTGTTGGGTTGTGTTAAGTTGTGTTAAGTTGTGTTAAGTTGTGTTGGGTTGTGTTGGGTTGTGTTGGGTTGTGTTAAGTTGTGTTAAGGTGTGTTGGGTTGTGTTGGGTTGTGTTGCGTTGTGTTGGGTTGTGTTAAGTTGTGTTGGGTTGTGTTGGATTGTGTTGGGTTGTGTTGGGTTGTGTTGGGTTGTGTTGGGTTGTGTGAAGTTGTGTGAAGTTGTGTTGGGTTGTGTTAAGTTGTGTTGGGTTGTGTTGGATTGTGTTTGGATTGTGTTGGGTTGTGTTGGGTTGAGGTTGGGTTGTGTTGGGTTGTGTTGGGTTGTGTTGGGTTGTGTTGGGTTGTGTTGGGTTGTGTTAAGTTGTGTTGGGTTGTGTTGGATTGTGTTGGGTTGTGTTGGGTTGTGTTGGGTTGTGTTGGGTTGTGTTGGGTTGTGTTGGGTTGTGTTGGGTTGTGTTAAGTTGTGTTAAGTTGTGTTGGGTTGTGTTGGATTGTGTTGGGTTGTGGTTGTGTTGGGTTGTGTTGGGTTGTGTTGGGTTGTGTTAAGTTGTGTTAAGGTGTGTTGGGTTGTGTTGGGTTGTGTTGGGTTGTTGGGTTGTGTTGTGTTGTGTTTGTTGTTTTGTTCCTCCAGGACATGTGTTTTTTTGGCCGCTGCAAATTTCACGGTGTCAGGTGCTTCGCGGTCTTACCTTTTTCTGCAGGTGTCAGAGGAGGATGTCGCCATCAGCGAGCGCAGCGTGCAGCTGACCAAGCACAGGCATGTTGGGCAGCGCCTGGCAAGTAGAGCAGGAAGGACCCAGCCAGCCAATTAGCATTCTGAGGGCAAGAAAATGGGCAGCCTGAGGGCAAGAACAACAGACTCACTGAATCGTTCAAGGCGTGTTGTTCGACGAATGGCGTGCTAGTACGGGCTGCGAATTTGCCAGGAATTTTGAAGCCGCCAGTTGGTCCGCTGGGTTTTCGATATTGGGTGGGCCTGCAACGCGCTTTGCTTCGAGATGTTTTGACCGAGCGCGGTTGGATCCTACAGGAGGCATGCTACCGTCCGTGGTGTTTCCCGCTGCTTTCTGGTTTGTGAGTGATCTCATCATGTATTGGCAAACGAGACCTGGAATTAGAAAGACAATTCCAATCGTATTTGAAAGGCGAATTATGGGGAATTGGGCGGCGACACTTGATGACGAACCTCTTGGGTAAAGAGTCAGAGGATTCTCTGAGTCGAACAATCACCGATAAAGCTTTGGTGGCAATTTCTGTGTTGGGGCATCGTTCGTTCCAGGAGTTGTGAGGAGGACATCGGAGTAGGCAACTGTCCAGTGGGAAAATTATATTTACGTTGCCTCAGCATCGCTTCCTTTCGCCGCGTTTGGTTGCAAATCACACCAACCAGTTGTGTTAAAGCATGTACGCATGACGCATGTTGCGGTTTGACATGTTTGTTGGACATTGTGTGGAATGCGCGTGTAAAGCGAGGAACTCATCAGCATCCCTCTTGACGGCCATGTGTCTTCTGAAGGCCAAGTGTTCCCAGAAGGCTGCCGTGGCCAAGCTGGCTTAGAGGGAGATGCCTTCTTTTTTTACTTCATGGCTAATTATTTGGTTGGATCGTTGAACTTGATGTTTTTGGTTGAAACAATGGATTTTCCGTTGGACCCCGCAAAAGTTATAAGCTCTTTGCAGGGGGTCAACAGCAACCAAGTTAATACGATCATATGCTCAGCATGAGGCTACTGGTAGCTGCCAGGAGGGGTGCTCGCGTGATCTGCACACCTGTTGGCATTCTTATCGTAAGGCACCTGTTTTCGCCAAGCGCGACCAAGTGCAAGCAAGCAAGTGAAGCTTACTGGGACCACCCCCCCAAAAAGCAACCTAAACAAGAAAAGCAAAGAGCAACCAACAGATAAGCATCAAAAAACAGCAGCAACCACACAAGAGCAGATTTGTTTTGTTCCACGCCAAGCGCGTCAAGCTTGAGCAGGCGGCAGCTGGGCGAGGATGTGGCCCAGGTGAAGCTATTGCCGCCTTTGCTGCGGCTTGGTTCTTTTAATTTGGCCGTGGTGGTCAAAGCCAATCGGATCCCATTTTCGGATAGGTGAATTCATCACCCATTTTAGAACCTACAGTATTTAAAACCGTTTTGGGATCCCATTTTGGGATAGGTGAATTCACCACGTATTTGAGAACCTATTTTAGTGGGGGTTGGGTTGGGATGTTCACTGGGGGTACGGGGTTTTGACCCATTGCTATTTGGCCCCAAACCAGCAGCTAAGCCAATTGCAATTTTAGGTGTCGGTTGGGTTTCGGCCTTGTTACATTGTTTATTTGGCCCTCGAGCCAGCAGCTCCGTTGGGGATTTTGGTTTGCATCTCCTGGTGCTGGTTTTCCTTCGGCAGAAGGTCGTGTCACCTTGAGTTCAATGGATGGACATGCGTGGCGGAAGGAGGCTGGTTTCACTTAGCACATGTCTTCGGAAAAAAAATGGCCAGGTCAGGGCCGTTTGGCCAGGGCGGTCTGACTATCTGGAAAGCAGATATAACATATAGATGTATTCAAATGAGATTATATGAGTGTGTCTTCTTTTGACGGAACCTTTTTTCCGAGAGGAGCACAGAATCCATTTTTGGAGGTCTTCCCAAAGAAGAAAGACGAGCCACCCAAGTTTGCCTTCGAGGATTTTGCCCCCCCCCCCCATACCGCAAAAAAAACAAACAATCGCCGTTCTCAGGTGAGCCATAATCAAACCCGGGCAAGTGAAGGGAAAGTCCCAGCCACCAAAAAGTTGCGGCCGCCTTTGTAGTTCTTTACGTTGGTTTCAGTGCACAAATGTTAATACCGATCGGTTGTGATTGTGACTCAGGTTTTGAATCCGGTGTTTTTTGTTTCCTAGGACTGTCTCTTTTTTTTGTTTTACTAGGGCTGGTTTTTTACTGGGGCTGGTCCCCGGCTTGGTTGGTTGGTTGGTTCGTTGGTCGGTCGGTCGGTCGGTCGGTTGGTTGGCTCAGGTTTTCTTTTTTCGGCCCAGGCGCAGCAGTGAGGCCTTTGGCCTTCAGCCGGAGCTCGCGGCCTTCTTGGCCGCGGTCTCTGCGAGCTCGGAGGCCCTGGGGCATCGCCAGGGCAGCCGCGCAGCGAATTTCTAGGGGTACCTTCCCCATTCTTCAGGGGTCCCTATATTTCCCTTTTTGTTGGTTTTGAACCTCAGCTTTTGGGCCAAAGGTGAGTGTCCCTTGGTGGGGGTGAGGTTTTAAGGGGAAATCTAGGGAGCCCTGTTCTTTCCAGGGATCCTTCTTTTGAGAAATCCAGCAGAATCCAAGGGGAAACAGCTGGTTTTTTATAAGAACGATGGTTTAAAAGAATGGGGAATCAACCCCTAGAGAATTGGGTTGTTTCCATGAAAGCTGCAGAACATCTGAAGGATGTTTCCGAACAAAACATGGGACAGGAAAGTTGGTTCAGGGGCTTCTCTATGAACCAAAATCCGAGGGTTTTTTTCTGTTTCAAGGTATCCCTTCTTTCCACCCCGGGAAGCTGTTCTGGTTTCCTCAGTTTCCACCACTCCCCAGGAAAAAGTTCCAAGCCTAAGGGCCCCTGGCGCAGGCCCTCCGCGGCAGCCTGCAGCCATGCGCGGAGCTTTGGCGGCATCTCTCGCGAGCAGAGGCGCGGCTTGCGGCCTTCGGCCTTTGGCCCGCTTGTTGTTGTTGTTTTTTCCCGCTGCGCGACCAGAATGTCGTTGAAGTGCGGAAATCAAAGAGCAGGGGGTGCGTGGGGTGTACCAAAAAACTGTCCAAGTCAAGTAGCCCGTCAGGTTGGTGCCCGAGCTGGATTTGGAGTACCCCCTTGACAGTTTGATTTCGAGGGTGAATTGCAATTTGAATGGGTTTGCTTCCAAACTTCAGCCACCCGTTTCGTGGTCAATTGAGGATGGTGAACTGGCACGCCCAACGAATTGCCTGCCGGTTTCTGAACATTTGGCTTGTGACCAACCGGGTCCGGAAGAGCCATTGCATTTTCCTGCTCAAAACCAGTCAAGGGGATGGGTAACCATAGGTGTCCTTTTTGGTTGGTTTGCTTAAAAATAGAGGGCCCTGGTTTAGCTGGGGTTTATTCTATTTACCAGGGCCATCTATTTTTCCAAAAGGCTACCTATGTGGGTAACTATTTGTCCTGACCCCGTGGTCCCCTGCAGGTTTCTGAAATGGATGGAATCCCGGATCATCTTTAGGCTTGTGATCAACCGGGTTCGCAACAGCCAGATGCTCACCAAAACCAGTCAAGGGGGGATGGGCAACCATCTGTCCTGACCCCGTTTGCAACCCAGCTATATTTTCCCAGTCAAAGGAAGGAATGGTACTGGTAGGCACTGGATGGAGCACGTTGGATGTGGCACTCATTGAGGTTATGCGCTCGCGCTTGGCAGTTTTGGCATGTGTGCAGGATGTCGCCCTGATGAAGCGGCGCAATAGGAGGTCCAAAGCATCCGAAGCACCCGAATCAGGTGGAGTCAAGGTCATGAGAAATTCTGCTGGGCAACTGGAATAATGACTGCAATTCCGAGGAAATGGACCATGTCGATATTTGTTGGTTGCTGGAGTTGGTTGCGCATACATGTTGAGCCGGAAAGGCAGGCATGGCATGCGATATAGATCAAGGCCTTGCACAAGCGGACGGTTCCGGGAGGGGTTGGTACGGGCTGGTTGCTTGCAGGCCGAGTGCCTCCCCAGCTTCCGCACCTTCCTGTGCGACTGCGCGCAGATTGCGCTGCGGATGGAGGCGGCTTGTGCGCCCTGCAGGCATGGGTCAATGGGTGGGGCGGGTTTGTTTCGCTTCTGGGTGGTTAGCGAAGACGAACATGTGGACATTGGCAGGGCGGCAACAACATTGGCAGGGCACCTTTGTCCTGCGGATTTAGCTTTTGTATTGAAGGTTCCCCGTGGCTGATGTGGGCTTTTTACTGTGGATGAACCATTTTACAACATGCCCAGACAGGCTTCTTGAGTTACATGCTCCCATACTTCACGGTTCATTTGGCGCCGCCCCTCAACTTTGCGGCATATTGAATTAAGAATACGCCATGCTTGTACTCAGGATGGCTTTGCTCTGGGGAAACCTTGAACCTTTGAAGGCTAAAGATGGCAGCGGTTAGCACGTCCGACATAGGCCACTCGCTTGATGCACGATCTAGAGAGCTATGCATGGTCGATGCGATTTTGGAAGCATGACACAAGCATGTGGGTGTGCGTCAAAATTAAACCACCAGGGGACCGCAGGTTTTAGTCCTTTGTTCCATTAACCTGTTCATTTTGTGCCATCTACCTGGGGGTTTCGCGCATTTTGGGCACCTATTTTTGACAACCACATGTACAGGCATATTGGTCCCTGCCAGTGAGCTGATCAACAAGCTGCTGCAGCTCTCTGCTGAGCCACCGAGCCTTGCAACTCTGGCGGTCGCCGGCGTATTGGCCACCAACGCGCAGCTCCTAGCTGTGAATGGGCATGGTCCGCGGCGTTTGAGACGTGTCTGGGTCAACGCACACTGCACACAGAGCCATCTCTCATTTGCAGCTGGGCGAAGTATGTGATATGCTGGGATCGAGACTAATTGGGTTGTTGGCTTTGCTGCATTTCTTTGAAGGCTGTGAGGTTCAACCTGATTCAGGCAAGCCCTTGGGCTAGACTCGTCCTCTCGTGCCAGTCCGTGCTCTTAGGATTATTTTTCTTCCAAGCGGCTGGCCTGAGGCTGGCGGTCCAGGACGTCCCGTTGCTGGCCTCTTCCCTCGCGGCCCTCAGCCCGGAGCAACGCGCGGAGACGGCGTCGCTGGCCTCACGCACTGCGATGCGCAGCGGCAGTTGGCTGATGAGTTCTGCGACTCCTTCAGCGCCGGAGGTGCAGGGTGGAATGTTTCTGTTTGCACGCTTGGCTTTTGTTTGGTTTCTTTGTTTCAAGGAAGCCAGCATGTTTTGGCGTTTCTTTGAGTAGCAGCCTGACTCCTTTTTGTTCAGTGAGTGCAAAGATCATGGGGGGGGGGGCATGGATCCAAGATGCTCCCAAAAGTCCCCAGACATCTTGGGATCCAGGGTCTAGATACGGCATGTAGAAGTCTAAATGCAACAATTTAGAGCCGTGATGGATTGCGTGCCTACACTTCTCTGATAGCGTCTACTGTGAAAACAATCAAGCATAGTGCAACTGTTTGCTCCAATTATTTTGAACGGGGCCCCCGCGGAAGAAGGGGGGTAGCAGCTATGTATTTACATACAAGTAGGATAGATTGATGGACCGATAGATCGATAGATTGTTATAGTTGTGTTGGTAGATTGGGCAAACGATGGATTGGCAGGTAGGCAGGCGGGCAGGTAGATACATTAGATTAGAAGAGGTTAGGCTAGATTGAATTAGATGAAATAGTTAATTAGATTAGGTTAGATTAATGGGTAGACAAATAATAGATGGATGGATATACACACACACACTGGATGCAACATTGTGTTTGTGGTGGACTGCCAGAGTATACCAGAGTAGCGTCAGAGGCAACGTTCATCCCGAGTGGTTCTTGAGGTTGAAGATAGCTTCAGGCCGGTTGTCATCGAGTTTCGTGTTCTTCCTGGTAGCCTTTCTTAGCGCAAAGGAATCGAGATGGGGTTGCCCTTGAACAACCTCTTGGCAAGTTTTCCCGGAGGGAGGAGCCCCCGACAGATTGGCCCCTCCAACACTTCCAAGGGGAAAGGTATCAAGTTGGAATCTAGGATTGGTGATGAGACAACCTTGACTGTGTCCCCTTGGAAGGCTTGGTTTCATTTACAGAAGCCTTCTGTGAACTTCTATCCTAGTCTGAGGGTCCACCTTGGAATTCGGACAGTCTTGGCATCGAGAATCCTGTGGCAATGCCTTGGTTCGTGCGCGCTGCCATGCTTGTCCACTCCCTTTTGCTGCAAACCTGTCGCTACACACATTTTGTTGTGCACATGTTTGGAAAGGTAGACATGAAATTCCTTAATATGCGCACATGTTTAGAAATACATGTATGACCTCCCATTGCTTTTGGCCAATTGCAACGGTCGTGGTCGGCCTCAAGGGCAACATGGGCGCTTGGAATCCGCAAACTTCCCCAGAATTAGCTCCCCTTCTTCATGTGTTGCTTTTTTGGGTCCCCTTTGTTTTGTACTAACCAGGCAAGAAACATATTTTTTTGGCTGGGTCCTAATTCCAGCCAAGCAACAAGCGAGCAGCACACAGATGCCCATTGCCATCAAAACCCGTGTATTGCTTCGAGGCGCCGGCCGAGAAGCCCTTGCCTGAGCCACCCGGGCGCTTGCGGCAGGTGTTGCAGGCGAGGACGCCAAAGGGAATGACATAGGTCCCACAGTAGTGCCCTTTTAATCTAGGGTTCCCCTACTAAAATAGACTACAGAAAAAAAAGATACCCTTATTCTAACCTCTCTACTGGAGGACCTAGTAAATGACCAGGGGATGTTGATCACAAGTTGGCCGTTGGCCCAGGGGTTACGTTGCTAGGGGATGTTGGTCACAGCTTGGCCTAGATGTGTTGGTCACATGTTCATTGGCTTTGGGGTCTTGTCCCGTTATCGCAGGATGCTCCAAGACAGCTGCGGTGCGCCATCGATGGGCGCCTCACCTTGGACCCCGTGAGGTCGCCCAGTGGCTTCCTGCTCGGGGCCCAAGAGGACCGGGAGGGCCCTGTGGCTGCCCGGTCGCCGGAAACCGCCTGGGGAGGGTCGCCCCTTGGAGGAGACTAGTGAAGTGCATGCGTTGAAAGATTCAGCACTGCTGGACAACTTTGACCCGTAGTACTTGTATGTAACTCGTTTGATCTCGGAAGTCAGGATCAATGCGTATCACCAGTCATGTCAAGCTTACCTGCAAGTCCACCCAGCTCAGAATGCAAGTCCGTGCCTGAAATTTCCTTATTTGGGTTGGCGAATCATCGCTAAGACCATGCTCCTGCTCAGCAAAAGCAAGCAGATGCAATCAACCTTCAATTTCCACTGAAGCCGCTTTTTCGGTCGTCCACACATTCCCACTGGGACGTGCGCACCCAACCTGCAGAATTGAACTAGCCTGCGTGTCAGCTCACAGAGCCGATTCTGCCGTCATACGGCAGAATGTGCAAGGAACAGACAACAAGAGAAAGCCAGCCATACAGTATCGTGAATGGCGGCTTGTTCTATAATTGTTTTGGCATGGCAGATGCGAATTCATTCTGCCATATTCTGCCTTTCAGGGCCGGCCATCGTGCGCTCAGGCTCATTTATATTACGTAGCTTCCATTTTGGCTGCAGTCGAAGGGACGCCCGTGTTAAAAAGCAACCTTTGCTTTGGAACTCAGATAGGCCAGAAGCTCTGACAAACATAATTAGGAAGTTGTTTGGAATTTAGGGAACATATGTGTTTTCAGATGAGAAAGTGAGTGCCCAAAGCGTTTTCCCTCAGGTGTTGATTTTCTTGGTGTGGAATCTTGAGTTTCTCAGCTGCTGAATGTCCGAAGCCGCTCAAAATTCAACATTTAATTTGAGGAAGTCCTGTTATCTTACGGGCTGACGGACGTCAGTTAGCACAGCGACCCCTCAGCTTCTGGTCCAACCTGCCAGCTACGAGCGGGCGGTCTTGGCGGAGCTTCTGGCGCGGAACGGGAACCTCTGCCCCGTCACAGGCGACCCGGTGCAGCGATGTGGAGTTGGAGTGGATGGCGCACAGGGCCTTTGACTTGTCGAGTGATCATCGTCCTTTTGTGACTGGTGGTGGGCATTCTCTTGACTTGTCGAACGAAGAGGAAAGGTGTCCATACGGCAGAGTACGACGCGTGTTTTATCTAATGTGGGGTTCGTTTACGTGGCTCCTTCAATATCTGCAATGGCAGTTCTCCAACCGCCTGTTATCTTCAGACAAACCACCGCAATGACATCGATTTATGTCCTAGGCCAGGGCCTGATTGTCACTCGTAGGTTGCGCCGATTCGTGTTGCAGTGGCGTGTCGTGCTGTGTCCTGAATGGCTGCCTCGTCACTATCATTCTGGCCCCTTTCAAGCAAGGGCTGTCAGTCAAGCAGCTCAGGCTAGCCAACTATGACATGTGGAATGAGGTAAGCTGCCCAACGCCAACCTTTTGGGGGCTCTTGGTTCTTTTCCCGTTTGGTCCATTTGTTTGTCACGGCCCAGAAAGATTCCCTCTTCTTCTTTTTTTCTGAGAGTGGGACCTCCTGAAACCTTGGGTTTCTGCAAAGCAGTTTTTTTGTCAATGCTGTTTTTTTTGTTTTTTCTCAGTTTTGTTCAATGCTGTTATTGTTTAATGCTGTTGTTTTTTCAATGCTGTTTTTTTCAATGCTGTTTTTTTCAATGCTGTTTTTTTCAATGCTGTTTTTGTTCAATGCTGTTTTTTGTTCTTTTTTTTTCTGGGGTCTTTTGGGCAGAGGTAAGTCGTGTCGGTGAGCCAGGCGTGGCTCTAGCGCTGAGCAGCTGCCGTCGGGACCCGGAGGCGCGCAAGGAGGCGCTGGCCTGGGTGAGAGCGTGCCTTGGCTCGCTGAGGAAACCTAAGAGACGGGCCTTAGACAGGGCTCCTTAAAATAAATTTATTTTTTGCCACCAATAGGGGAAACCCTTAAAAGATCTCCATTTTGCCACCACTTGAAACATGTGGCTTTTTCCCACCATTTGAAGCATGGCCCTTAAAAGAGATTCATTTTGCACCATTTGAAACATGTTGCTTTCTCCACCCATAAAAGATCTCCATGTTGCAACCGGTTGAAACATGTGGCTTTTTCAACACCCAAACAAAGTTGGAAACCACCATTTACAAGTTGCAATGTTCAGGTGTATAATATAAGGATCCCTGTTAGAGCACTTGGTCCAGCGGCGCCCAAACCGCGTCTTTGCGGTTTTTGCTCAAAGTCAACTTGCAGGAGAAAAAAAGGGTGCCCTTTGACCCCGGTTTCTCCGGCTTGAAGCGCCAGACTCACACGCAAGGAATCCCAGCAGGCCTATGTATTGAAGGCTGACATTTTGGCTTGGTATGGCCCCGTCTATCTACCGAGGATTAATAACCCGCGGGGGTTGGCAAGTCTGATTGCAGCACCGCATCATTCCAACTGCGCCAAGCTCCAGGTAAAACTAAGCTTGCCCAAGATCTTACGTCCAGCGTTCCTGGACTTGACATACCTTTTGCGAGACGATTTTAGTGGCAATCAAATAGTTTGGATGTTTGTCGGCCAATCTACTCGTTCGTAAGTGCGAGATCTTGTTTTTGTTGACCAAGGGCCCCCCTTTCCGCTTGGTTTCAAGTCTTGATCACATGGTTGTCGTTGGGAAACATTTTGCATTTTTGCTTATTGTGGTTTAGTGGTTGAAATCCAACCACTTAGCTGCTAAGAAATATCTTTTTTGCTGCCCTTTCAAGGTCCCAGCTTCTCGGGCCCCAGCCCCTCCTTTCGCCCGCCTCCTTTTTTTGCCGCATTGAGTCGGGCGCGTGAAGCAGGGCAGGGTGAATGGACCCGACAAGCAATGAAAAATCAAAAGAACATGACACATGCACATAATACACGCACACATATATTATTATTTGTATAGATATAGCATGATACTCCGGCGGTGCATGAGAGAGAGCTTGAAATTTGGACTTGCCAAGCCCCAGGCTAGAGAGACAACCCACTCAATACCCCTCCGACAACCAAGCCCAAAACCCAACCTAGCCCAACACAGAGAACTGCACCCTCGGAAGCAGACACAGACACGCAAACATACAGACACGCAGATGTACAGACAGAGATACAAACACACACATAGACACACACACACACATATATATATATATGTGCTCATACGCCACGCAATCACAGAGGCACACGACAAACACACGCACACACACACACACACACACCCACACACACCCACGCCCACACCCACACCCACACCCACACCCACACCCACACGCACACGCACACGCACATGCCCACGCCCACGCCCACGCCCACGCGCACGCGCACGCACAAGCACAAGCACACGCCCACGCACACGCACACACGCACACACGCACACACGCACACACGCACACACGCACACACGCACACACGAACACGCACCCACACCCACCCACCCACCCACCCACCCACCCACCCACCCACCCACCCACCCACCCACCCACCCACCCACCCACCCACACACACACCCACCCACCCACCCACCCACCCACCCACCCACCCACAC